CAAATCAATTGCTTCAAACTCGCACAATTTCATATTTTTACTGGTTTATCCTTATCTTTTCAATTTGCGTTTTGTATATTTTTCATTTATTATATTTCGCTCGTCTCACTTTAGAAAAAAATTGACCAATTAATTTCGTTCTATCGTTGGAGTCAAACGACTTGACGAAATTAAAAAAAATTGACTATGTGCCAATGCGTGTAGTGAGTAGTACGCAAGACTGCGTACATTGCATTATAGTGTACGCGCATTTAATATTCAGTCAACTATTTTAATTTAAATCTACACTGATTTCGCAGAATTTGAATGCCCCTTCAGTCGTTTGACGCCGACAATACAAAAAAAATGAAAATAAATTGAAAACTCAATTTCAGCGGCCAATTGAATCTTGAATACATTTATAATTTCCAAAATTCCATTCTTCTTGACAATATTTTCTATTTAAATTTGCGTACTTTGCAATTTTAATATTTCAGTATTTTATAAGAAAACGATTTTCCTTTTTTTTCTTAAATATGTCTTCGGCGACATGGAGGTGTAGTTTTACGGGGTGGTCTCGCACGGACCAGAATGCTATTTCGTATTTCATTGCTGATTTCGAATAATTGTTAATTGTTGTGATTTTAGAAATGAAAAGAATTTCAAATTGACCAATAAAAAAATAAACAGTTGACGTGAAAATAACAAAATATGCGTGGCGAGACCCTTTCGAAAGGCGCACGCGCGTAAATCTACCCCTATACATTAGTCGACGAACACCGAGGATAACCTTCCAATTTCTATGAATCCCGAAGAATTTGAAAGTGTTTAAAGGCTTTGTAGACCCGAATAATCGAAGAGAATCATCCAGAAAAATATTTTCGTTGATCATTTCGCCACAATAACTTGAGCGTTTGCATTTCGGATTAAAAGAATTTCGCAACGAATATTCAAATTGCGCATATGTTTGGCACCTGCGAACCAATCGGATGTCCCAAATTTCAATCGGCGGCCAGGTGACGGCGACGACGAATAATAATAATAAAACTGATGGGAAAAAAAAAAGCACAAACACATGAGAATGTTTGTATAGTCAATTATTCGTGTCATATTCTCATCATTACACGAACTTTGTGACCCACTTCAACTACTATTTAAATTCGGACGCACTTCACTATTCAGTTGTTAATTTCCATTGAACCCGTTCGTTTTTGAGTACATCTGCCCGTCTCAAATTCTTCGTTTTTCTTTTGCACGTAAGTGACCTCTGAGTCGGCTCTTTTTGCCAGACCCCCCCCCACAACGACGATCCGTGAGTCACTTTCACCTATTCGGAGAACCACAATCGTGACGGTGTTTTGCTTTTCGAATGCCGCCATTACCGACAAATTGGTAATTCGCCGCGATTGGTGAACAAGATTTTTCGACGTCCTATCAAAAAATGAGTTATGCGCGATAAATGATGAGACATTCATAATGGAAAAATAATAATTTTACAACACTTTTTTCCAAAAAAAAAAGAAATACCCGAAGTCGGTTATTGAATTGTTTCAATATGGTTATTTTGCGACACTAGTTTTGGCCGGTTCGCTCAATTATTTTAATCCTATCAAGTTGCCGAAAAAACCAGCAACAAAATCGCGAGTGGGTATCAATTCGATTCGTTTTTGGAAGAATGCCTTCTGCAATCTGTCAACGATAATTGATACGTTGACGAGGCACAGAAGTCGATGAAAAAGAAGAAGAAGAAGATAAATTAGTTTCCAAAAAATTGATGATCGGTTTTGTGCAATCTTTTTAAAATAGTGTGTAAAGCGAACAGAAAACGAAACAATTCAAAAACAATTCGCCAGACTTCTTCTTTTTTTGGTCAAATCAAGAATTTAATTGATAATCAGTCGAAGAAAAAACACACGCAGAGTGTGTTGTCAATTCGCAATATTTTCGCGCCCTATATTTCGGCGTTGTCATTCGGCTGGACGACCTCCCGCCAACCAGCCGGCCTAGCCACCAAGCCCAGTTCATTCATTGTCCTTCGTGATCCAATTCAAGGTCCTACACCTACCAGACCGCACTTTCCGCAACGTACTCTTTTTTTTGCATTTTTCCAACTGGTACCAGTCGGTTATTATCGATCCGGTTCGATTCGTTGAACTCTTGCGCAAACACAGAAATCGCAACTTTTGTATATTTGCATATTAGCATTATTTGCATTCACGTCGAGTCGCATCGAGTATTCACTACTAATGCACACTTTCCTGTTTCGCCCCCTCCCATCTAATTATTATAATTATTCCCAAATAAGGCAGGTCATTGCTTTTCTGCCTCGATTGCCTTTGCCTTCGGGCGACTGCCAAGCAGATTCCGCAAGGCGATTTCACTTTTTAAGAGTACTCCTCAACAACAATTTCAAGAGATTCAATTAATGTTCTGTTTGGCAAAATTTCTCTAAAATTTCATATTTTGTGCTTTGAACATTTTAATCGTTTCGAAGAGTTTCTTCGGAATCTTATCAATCGATTTTCTTGCCTCCGATGAAATACAGTAATAGATATTCAAAAATCTCGAAATATATAATTAGAAGCGCACAAGAATTAAAAAATTAACAATCGGATGACATCGATTAGGACGGGATTCATGCCTAGGAGAGATAGAACAGACATATGTTGGCTGGGTGGAATAATCGCTCGATTCGAATCAAGGAGATATCGATTTCCCGTCGCAATTGTGCCCCGTCTATACAAATTACGTTTTTATTTTTCCATTCGTCTTTAGAATAACTAATCAATTTTTTCCTTATGAATACCCCTCAATTGTTCGATTCAATCGAATTCAATTCTCGTCTCGCTTTTTTTTTCCAATATTGAATTATACTCAAGCCGCACTTTAATTTGAATAACACAAATATTCTTATCAATTTGTCATCTGCTGGTTATCATATGAGACAAAAACCAAACAAACTAAAATTGCGTTGATTCCAAATAATCGACGCCTATTCCCTTTAACATCTTGCCCAAAAATCTAATCTTTTTTTGGGATCGATGTGACCCGAAAAAGCCAACAAAAAGAAGGTATCATGCCTAATTAAGATGAATTTGGATGCAATCAAGGTTGTTATTTGATCTACAAATCATTGGGAAAAAACTTTCTCGAAAATTTTAAATTCGTTTCCACGCGTTCTTAAAAGTGCGTGAAAATTTCTTCTCGAGATCTTGATTGCCAGCATTACACTCGTTTGTTCCTATCGTGCAAAGACCATTTTTCTTTTTAAACATTCATTAAGAAGAAGATGAAGAATAAGAAACGGTTTATAAAAAAAGAGAGGGAGAGAGAGAGAGAGAGAGAGAGAAATCTAAACAGTTTTGTGGCAAAATTCGAAGAACAAAATGGTGAAGCTCGTGTTTCACGCGTTTTTTTCGACTCCCAAACATCAAGTCGGCCTGTTGAGCATCAAGATTCTCGAATTTTCAACCATTTTCAAGTTTTTTCGGTTTTTTTTTGAGGGGTCCCATTATTAAGAAGAAATTTTGTGTCACTTCTAGTGGGAAAAAAAGGGCCAATTGTCGAGTGTGTCGATGTATTACAGTGGCCGGAAACAAAGGCGGAGTTAATGTGATTTCGGTCGACAGGTTCCACGAAATGTCGAGACATCGAATGTTCTGGTGAACGCCTCGAACCCGCCACACCCTTATCTGAAACGCGGCCCCCCCCATAAATCACATACGCACCTATCATCAACGAATTTATATTCCAAAAAGCGAAAAATTGATAAGTTGTTCTCATTCATTTTGCTGCTGCCACTACAGCCGCTGCTACTCCACACCAAATCGCCTCCTCCTCCTCCTCGCCCTCTCCCACAACTGATTGTGTGTAATCTCTGCAATTCCGCGATTCTCCCAATATTTTGCCGCTTTCGACCAACATGTTTTCATTCTCCTCACTGTTTCCGGTCTCAGCGAACCCAAAAATGGAAAGGAGAACACCTAATTATGATGTAAATGCGTGTGGCGTCGACTTATTCATCATTTTCCATTTTTGGAGACAAACATTTTTTTATGGCCTGCTAAAATGATGGGAAACTCAAATTTATTTGAACAAGTTATCAGTGCCAAAAATAGATATAAAATTTGGTCTTCTTGTTGGGCAAAAACGGTTTGGATGCGATTGAAGCTGACTGCGCTCATATACCGGACAATTCAACCGGTTCTTTTTTCTGCTACTTCTTCTTTTTTTTTTGAAATCGATGTTCTGCCCGCTCTTCATTCTCATTTCTCTCTTTGCAATCGCGTTACAATCAAACAAAACGTGCATATTTTATAGTATTCACAATAAATGTTCGATTTATGCCCTCACCAAATTTGTGCAAATAGGTTTACTGCCAATTTTTTTTGGCCTCGGTCAAATTTCGTGGTCAGTTTTATTACTATCGCATAAAAAACGAGCACCCCTGAGTATTGAAGTTTTTTCGAGACCATTATTCAAATTTTTGAGTTCAACAGTGAAAATTCGGGTGCCTAAGAATTTACGAATAAAACTTACTGTACTTCTAGGGTGATCGTTTTTTTGTTATCTTTCTTCGAATTTTCTCCGAACATCTTCGCATGTTTTCGCCATCGTGAAAATATTAAAAATCTTCATCCGATTTACGAGGACCATTAAAATGTGATTTATTAGATTTCCAATCAAACATTCGAAAGGCCCTCAATATTTTCACAAAAATCTTATTTGATTTTTGACGAGAGAAAAGACGTGAAAAATGAAAAATAAATTCTAGTCGTGCAACACCATTACGACATTCTGCGGACATTGTTTACCGTACCCTGATTTTACACCGCTTGAACTTTTTAATGACTTGCCACAAAATCAAGGTTTTATTTATAAAATGCTTTATTTATTTAAACGAAAATTTTCGTTTTTCCATCAAAGTTCACATTTCAATCAAGTTCATTATTGTTGTCTTTTCGTATTAATTTAATTCTTCTCAATTTGTTCTCATCAAAACCTAATTTTCATTTCAGAGGATGGCGCCGCGCGAGGAATCTCCCTATACCACTCTGGGAATTTCGAGTAATTGTGACGAGATTGAAATCAAGAAAGCGTGAGTTTCTTCATGTGCCTTTTGTTAGTCAACATTTGCATAATCTCCAATAATCGTGAATAATGGTTAGCTGTTGGCTCAAGTGTGTCTTCATGTCAATATTAGCGAACCTGCCTGTCATCATGCTTATTAGCGAGCATTTCGAATACAGGGGCCGCGTTCGTTCTTTACTCTTTTGACACTCGATTTTGAGTTGCAGTTTCCAGTTTCTTTTTCACGACAATGTTGACATACTGCAAAAATCACACACAACATGATTTAGTTAGTTGAAACGTACAAAATCGTTTTCTGTTGCTTCGGGGAAAAGCTATTGTACTTTCGAACAAATAATGTAAAAAGTGCTCTGAATATGACATATTCTCAAATCAGAATGTTTGTTTAAAAGACTACGGAAGTAGGCAAGTCTCACATAAAGGTACAGTAGAAGAATGAGTGTATCTCTCTACAATTTATTATCAATACTCGCTTCTTTTTACGACCCACTCAAAAAATTTATCAAAATAAATTTATTGTTTCTTCTAGCGATTAAAACGTGCGAATTCAGATATCGCAAACTCGCGTTGAAATGGCATCCCGACAAACACACAGACGAGAAATCGAAAGAAGAAGCCGAGAAGCAGTTCAAGAAGATTGCGCAGGCTTACGAGATTCTCTCTGACAGTAAGTTTGTCTAAAAACTTTATTATAGTAGCCATGGACGTCATTCAAGAGTGTTGACTCAAAAAGAAAAAAAAAACGTTTGGAATTGGATTAACATGCTCTTTTTTGTGTTCTTCCTTATTTGCGCAGTTGATTATTGCGAGAAAACACGAAGTGTGAAGTCCACTTCTGACCAATTGTTGACTTTCGATTTTCAAGTGTGACTGTTTGTAAAATGGCAGCGGTTTATGGTTGTAAAGTTGGGAAACAAAAAGCAAACGCACATTAATTTGACAAATGACCTTGTTTTTTTTGTGTTGCAGAGAAGAAACGAGCTGATCTCGACCGCGCTGAGAATCCGGCGAATCATCGCCGACGAAGTGCGCCAGGATTCCGAACACATGCCCACGACAACATGTTCCGTTCGCCGTTCGATATTTTTCGCGAATTCTTCGGACACCGGGATCCATTTGAGGTGTGTTGAAATGGAAAATCCCATTCACTCGATGTCAATGATTTCAGAATGTCTTTTTCGACGATGCTTTCACATTTCCCGATGTCGACTCGTACGTATTCAAAAGTAAGAACATTATAATTTCAAAATCAGTAAAGAAATATGCACATTTAAACAATTCTATTGGATTCCACACTAAAAACATTTTGCGGAAATCACATAACGTGAACATGTGTTCCCGGCCAATAGGAAGAGTTTAAATCAGATAACAACATCCAGGAAAACCGTCATTGGTATATTCAAGATTGCAATTTTTTAGAGCACAGTCATCCGCGAACACCAGATGCGAACCGGACCCGGTTTCCGTCAAGCCGAGTTCACATTTTCTACGACGACAATGCCAATAAGAAGGACAAGGACAACAACAAGTAGGCGCAATACGTTTTGCTAAGAATTTCACGATTTGCATTAAACAATTTTCAGCACATTTTCGACAGTGATCCGGTTTTCGAGTCCAACGGAACCGGGAAAACCGGCGGTGGTCCGTAAAACATCGACGTGTACAAAGGTTGTCGATGGAAAGAAGATTGTGACGAAGACTGTGGAGAATGAGGACGAACACATTGTTGAGGTAATCAAAATTCATATTTTATTATAGTCGGCGTCCACGGGTAGATTTACGAGTTTTCCATGGTCTGAATGATTTGTCTTTTTCATGCGAACTGGTACCTCTTTCTTGATGAGGTTGCCATTTCCTTGAATTTCTAGCATTGTTAAAATTAAACATTATCGATGTGAGCCAGAAAATTCAAAATAACCAATTTGTGAGATCTTAGCGAAAGGCGCATTCTCGTAAATCTTCTCGTATACATCCAATATTTCAGTAATAATTATAATTAAGGTTCATGAGGACGGCGAGTTGAAGACTCGAACCGTCACCACACCGCCAACCTCACCAACAGTTATCTCTGCCAATTGAGATGCATTCCATGTTTTTTTTTTCTAGTCGAGTTCTTACTTTTTCTGATATTTTGTTGGGTTCCACGTCTCTCTCTCTCTCTCTCTCTCTCTCCGTCGTCGAGTATTTATTTGGGAATACCCACAAAACCTTTCAACTTGAAGTTTTTCTGATTCATTTTTTCCTATTCTTCCTCCGTCGCCCATATTTTTCCATTGTCTTGCTCTTTCATCAAAAATCTGTGTACATATTTTGATATATTCCTGATTTATGCAATAAATAATGTAGTAGTTTATTAATTATTGTGGAAAAAACACACACAAATGCCGCAAAATTTAAAAAGAGGTCTCGGTGCGCTGTATGCGCCTTTAACCTATACATACACATTGTCCCGTAAATCTACACTATTAGTTTTGCGCCAAGACCACTGTCATAATTTTTTTTGGAATTTAGCCAATTTTCCGCAGACACTCCTGATATTCCACCGACGTAAATAGTCACCTTCATGTGTTGTAAATTTTTTCATTTTTGATAAACTGAACTATTGAGACCATTTTCGGAAAACCGCACAAATTTTCAATTAAGAAATTGGTAATTATCAGTTTCTTTCAGGGAACGTATTCAAAATTATCAGAAATGATTTTTCAAAATTATCAGAAAATGATGAATTCATAAAAACTGATCTGCCACAGATCAGCTTTTCATTCATTTGTCAATGTGTTGCATACTTGGAAAGAATCCGTCAGATTTAAAATTTGTCTCGTCGGCGAGTCGTCTCATTGTTTCAGCCTCGAGATCGGCATATGGGAATTTGAAAATTTTTGAAAATCAAATATAAAAATGTTCGCTCGAAACCCTGAATTTTCTCAATCAAATGAAAATTGCGATTCGCACTTTCAATTGGTTCGGTTGAACCATAAAACGAAATAGAGCCACTAACGTCTAAATCAATTTCAGAGCAAGATTTTTCATTCTGGGCTAGTGTCGTCGTACTGAATTCGCAAATTGCTCATCGGATTTCAAAAATTCGCTAGTGAGATTTTAAAGTGTTGTGATCTCTAATGCCTTGCAATTAACGCTATAAGTTTATTATTAATAAACCCAGTTAATTTCAGTGAGGTCAACTTTAAAATAAGAACCAAAATGTGAAATCCTAGAGACGTCGGAACGAAGAAAATTAGACGAATTCAAGAGATTGAAGACAAGAAGCCGGCATCCAGATCAATTATAATTGAAGTGTGTCCTCCATTTTATTGTGTTAAATGAATAGTAAAACTTTCGTTGCGTTTCGCACAAAACAGTTGGTTTACTACTGTGACTAATCTAGGCCAATTTTCATTGTCCGCCCCCTTCGGCTTAGTATATATGTGGAATAATTAACGCCAATACAACAAACATGTTTCTCACATTTGTTTTGGCTTCTGTATTCCTTTTCATCCCATCCGACTCCTTCTTATTCCCGACAGGAGGTGGTGGTGGCGGCGGAGGGTGTGGATGCGGATGTCCACCACCACCGCCACCACCGCAGCCTTGCTGCCCACCACCACAACCATGTTGTGGACGAAAAAGAAGAAAGAGATTCACAAGATCACTTGCTGATAAATCGAATGCGCCACATCAAGGATCAATCAATTTGAATACCAGTATATTGTGTAATATTCCGAAGCTGAGAGACGTCGTAGAAAAGGTGAGAATTCATTTTTGGTAACAAATTACCATCAGAATGGTTTCAGAGTATGCGAGAATCCGCTCAAGAATCACTAGATTCGCTGAAATCCTCGATCGATACAAGCGCATTCCTCATACTTTGCTCGTCGGGCAACATCGATTTCGTTGCTCCAACGGGCTCTCAGTTCTGCGGGGCTCAGACAACTACCCACTATTGTCAAGTGTTTTCCATTTCAACATTCGAAGAAAATTAAGAAAAAAATAACAATTGATTTATTAATTAACTGGTTTAAATAAACAAAAAAACTATCACGCGTTACTTTTTTTCTGCAAAAAAATATAAATTAATTTTATTGGTCAAACCAAAAAATAAATAAATGGTGTTACCTGTAGCCGCTTTCAACAGGGCATTCCGTTTCTCCTGGCGCGCCTTCGTCCGAGCATGCGATCTTCTTTCGGAAGCCACGTGTCGATCTTCTTCATCATCCTCAATAATATACGCTAATAATCGGTCTTCTAATTCACTGCAATCATAAAATCGATATATTTTTGGAGTAAAAAGATAAAAATACACGAAATTGGGCCGATCAACGGGCTGTTTGCGCCAGCATTCCATGGCGATTTCAAGAATGCACGGCGACATTCCCGGCAATCGGTCGAATCGGTAGCCGTCTTGAATGAACTGATAGACGCTTGTCGGCGGCATGATTCCGTACGGTTCGCCGATTCCGTAGCTTTCGAAGCAAATGATTCCAAACGACCAGACGTCGGTTTTCGAGGTGAGTATCCGAGCGCCGAGCACCTTCAAATATATCAAGTCGTTCTCAACACAATCCATCGAAATCTCATACTTCGGGTGGCAACCATTTGAACGGAATCTTGTTCGGATCGTTGTACGTCGCATACGATTCGCTGCGTATCAGTTTTGAGAGCCCGAAATCCGTCACTTTGGCAATCATTCTGACAAATGTTGGCGTTTATCTCATTTATTTTTTCGACTGCAGAAAATTGGCGAAATGCCGAAAAAAAATGTTTTTGGGGGTGTGCGCCAGTGCTGTGCAATCGGAAATTTCGGCAAATTGCCGAAAATCAAAATTTCGACTATTAAATTTTTTTCAAATTCGAATTTCAAACATAAATACCGTATCCGAAATTATTCAATGGATATTCTTTTTTTATTGTTTTGTCCATTTTTTTTACAAATTGCTGAAAATCAAAATTTCGGAAATTCCATTGCCGCACAGCCCTGGTGTGCGCCTTTAGCCTTATCCTTATACATTCCTAAACCCCGTAAATCTACACTTTCAATTTTGCGCCAAGACCTGAGGACATTGCTCTTCTAGGAAAGACGCAAAAATTGTTTGAAAAACTGAATGAAATATAAAATAGATACTTCTACATCCACTTCTAATCCATTTTTTGTCCTTTTCTCAGTTGCAGTATTTTCAGCCAATTTTTTCCGCAGTCGGCTATATAGTCAGCGCCAGCCGACTGCTTTACGCGGGGGTAGATTTACGGGGATGCTACTTTCTCTTGGTCTCGCACTGACTAACAGGTTATTTCGCATTTTATGGTTCGACAATTTTTAAATTGAACGACGTTGGAAATTCGAAGAAATCATCAAGAAAAAATAAATCGTAGCAAAATATGCTTTCACACGTGGCGAGAATTTTTCAAGGCCCATGCGCGTAAATCTACAGCAGTCGCCGGACGCCGACTATATGTACATACATTGGTATTGCGTGAAATACCTCGGATTGATAAATATAAAATAAACCAAATTACCTTCCTTTTTGAATTGGATGCGGCTTTAGCAGAATATTTCTTGCCGCCAGATCACCGTGAACGACGGGCGGTGTCCGAGAATGCAAGTAGCCCATTCCGCGACAAATCTGCGCCAGAATATCGCATCTTTCGTTTTCTGACATCATTCCGTTGCATTTCTATCAAATTTCAATTATTATTTCGATTCCGCCGAAAACCATATAACCAACTTCAATGAATTTGTCAAATGAGTTGGCCATGAGTTCGAAAATTAAATACATTACACTCGAGTCTTTATCAAAAGAAAACCCATAAAAAATGACAATGTTCGGATGACAAATCATCTGAAAAAAAGGCAAGAATGGCGGCGCGTTTCGAAAATGCATACCATGAGAATATCGAGCTCCGAAAACGCGGCGATTCGCTCCTCCTTGGTTTGCGGCGACAATCCGAGCTTCTTCACCGCCACCGGAATTCTCTCCTCATTTTCCTGCTCGAATATTGCCCGTTCAACACTCCCAAATGCTCCAGCGCCAAGTGAAACTCGATCAAACTTGACGCGATTCATATTAATAAAATATGGGGTATTGAACGAAATTATGGTCTCATGAGGAGGCATTTCACTCCAATTTCGTCGTTTTCCAGAAGCTTCCGATTTCTAAAAAAAAAATTGGGAAATAATTCGCATAAAGTTAATTAAATATCAATTTCGACTTTGTGGTTTTTCGTGTCTTCGACTGGACGCTTGAAACCCTTGTAATACTCGGTAGCGGCATCAAGGTCCGATAGTGGTAAATCTCAAAAATGAGGTTTGAAACAAAAACTTGAAACACTGGAAAAAAACCAATTTTCTTGAAAATTTTCTCGTGAAGTTTTTTGCCAAGATCCAACACCGATTTCGTGACATAAAATATTTTTTCATCTTGCTCAATTCGATTTGTCACCTGAAATACAATTTGTGAAATGCCAGCAAAGATTTTCAACATAATCACTTGATCGTGATGAAGGGTCACCCATTGCTCGATCATCATCGGCTGCGCTCGAATGTCGCGTTTGAATCGAACGACGGGCGGCGGAACCTCCGGACACGATCGAAACGGACGATTCAGCCGATTGTATATCAATTTGTGACCGATCGGCGAATCGAAGTTGGCCAGATGGTAGACGAGATCGAACAGAGTGTCGTATCGCTTCGAGAACAACTCGTAATGTCCCAACACGGATCGTTTTATAGTGAGAAGCTTAATCAAACAATTTTGAAATAATTGCTTTTTGCTGATTCATCTCACCAGGGGAGTCAAATTATTGATTTGCATACACATCCAGCCTTTTAATCGAAATTCTTTTTCCTATAACATATATATATATTAAGTGATAATTTGAAAGAATTCTCACATCCGAGTCAGCCACTTCCTCATCGGCTATGAAGAAATCATTCCATTCGTCAGGATCAACTAACGGATGAGAGCGAATATCTAAAAATTGTTGGCGTATTGAACATTCGGATTGATTTCGACGTTGCCTTCCAAATAATCATTGACAAGAAGGTCGCAAAATTCCGATGGATCGCTAGATTGTTCGACGAGCACCATCATGAAATAAGGCCGCAAATCCTGCGGATCCGGATTGAGCCACGTCGGTGAGAAAATGACAAAGACGCCAGGACACAAGCACGAACAATCCTCGGTTAGAATATCGTAGACGGTCTCGATTTCAGCGTTTCCGGCGAACCAAAATTTGTTGTCGAAAAGTTCGACGTTTTCTGACAATTTTATTGATTGGCGTTTTTGTTTTTGTTTTTTTTGGTATTTCTAAACCTTGATAAAACGTTTTTGTTACCAAATAATGACTGGGAATTATTCCGAGGTACGGATTCATCGGTCGACCAGTGATCCATCGACCCAGCGACATTTGGAACGGGGTTCGCATGAACTCATTGCCATCAGTGGCTCGGACCCTAGAAAAAAAAATTTTTTTTTGAAAAGAGAATTTCATCGAAATTCTTTTGAAATTTTTTTTGAATGGATGCTTCTTCCTACAATGTTACCAATGTCTAGAGATGAGGGCGCCAGAATTCAAATTTGGGTCTCGCAATAGTAGAGCGTTTGGTAGTTGATTACTCGATCGTTTCAAGACCAATTCAGACACGAGGTGACTTGAAAAGAATAAAAACCTACGGGTATTCTTCGGCGCACACATTCACGGTTTCACGGGCGAGAATGTTGAGATCGAAACACGTGTTGCCACCAAAATAATCCCAAAGCGCGATCATCTCGATTTCAAGCGGTTCTCCGCCAATAAAAAATGGTGAAAAATGGGAAGCCTTCAAAAAGAAAATGTTTATTCTCTTCAATTCGAAATTATTTATCGAATACCATCGAAAATGTTGGAAATAGAATATCCGCTGGTGCCATATGACCGTCGAGATCATAACCTAAATTCGTCGCGAACAGAAGCATCTCATCCTTGATTATTTCGGCGTCATCGCCATCGTCTTCTTTGATAATATCTTCGACCTTAAACCAAAGAATAATCGAGAATTTTCAGAAAAACAAAAGAAACCGATGAGCAATCACTTAGCGAATCTGGAATTTCATATTTATCTTCGTTTAATAATCTAGTCGGAAGTAGAAACATTTCATCTTTGTTTATAATTATAGACTGAATATTTATTTTAAAAAAGGAAACCTATGAACTTCAGTACTTTTTCACTATTATTTCCTACCGCACCACCTTTATTTGCCATAATATAGATATATAAAAAATTAAAATGGTTAGTTTTTGAAAACATTTTAGTTGATCACGTTTAAAATGGGCATCAATTGGCACATATTTTAAATCTCTTATTAATAAATGACCAGCAATATATACTCTACAAAATTACATCCACAAAATATAATAATTGCTTGTTTAAAAAGTCTTATTCTTGTGTAAATAAAGGGTGATGAAATGTATATGATTCAACAAGAAACGTTCGAAAATCATAGACATATTCGATGAGACACATCATCGTCAAATCATTGCTCCCCGAATATTTGTTTTGGTTGACAATTACAACAGTAGGCGGGTCGCCTCGCTAAACATTTTTCATTTCTTTTTTTATTCGAAAATATCGCTTTCTTTTTTGTATCATTATTTCTCAAATCGCTAATCACTCGAATATTGTTCAATATTTTAACAGGTTCCCAAAATTGGTTCTCTTGGGCATTTGAACAGACTGCCAGATTCTTATTTTTTTTCCAAAGCCTCATTGATATTAAATACTGATGGTTACTTGTAGTTCGACAACGGCTGGCGCATGATGGATCTGATTGACGTGAAAGTTGAGAATGAAAAATTGTGGGAGAATCTGTTTCCGAACAACGAGATGATCGCAAGCAAAGAAGGAAAGTAAGTTCAAACAACTGCCCTATTTGCTTCTTTTTCGAAATATTCCAGAAAATTGTGTCCTGAATTGGCTTATAAGGTTGGACAACTGGAAGATGACGAATATTACGTTTTGGAGGTTCACATGAAACGAATTACTGAAAATAGGTTGTTTATATGTGGCCTATAATCTTAGAAGAAATACTGCAAAAAAAACGAGCACCTTGCGAAATTGTAGATTTTTTGGGGTGGCGGTAATTCAAATTTGATATTATACTAAACAGTGGGATTTCGTGTACCGAATTATGGAGATTGGCAGGTTATCTGTAGTACGGTAACCAAATTCCGACGTTTCCAATTCAAATTTGAATTTCCGCCTCGCAAACGGTCTACAATTATTCAAAGTGCTCAGTTCTTGAGGTTCCAGAACTCATTTTAATTTAATTATGTCTCTTATCAAAACGAAAATTGTTTAACTAAATCTAGCATAATAACCGACATGAGAAGTAAGAATAATCTTAAAATTAGTATTTATGCCAGGCGGATAGGCTATCTTGCCGAGATTTGAGCCATCCTTAAAATTTCGAAGCCGATAGTTCGCTCGAAAAAAGATTCATAGTACCCATGCTTCAGATATCGTTTTGTGGAAAACGAGTGGATAATGTTTCCGGATAATCGACATCCTGTGCCAGAAATGATAGTGCGACATCCCGATGGATGCCAAAACGGAAAATTCTGGATGGAAAGGCCGGTATCGTTCCGAATGATCAAATTAGTCAACGATCCAACGTGTAGAAAAGAATTTTGTGTAATTCCTTTTAAATCAATTCATAATTCATAATCCTCTTATTCAGATCCCCATCCAGACATTGGCTCTCTATTCTCCGATTCTCAGAATCACCAAAATGAATAAGCCGTCATTACTTGAATGTGGCGTCGAGATTCCAGTTGAGCAACGAAACTTCAATTTTCTCATCACGCAATTTTTCACGGGTACCAGCTATTCGGTATGATTTTTGTTCGAGTTTCCAAAATGAACTGATCAAAAAATTGCAGAACTCCGAAATTCGAAATCTGAAAGTGTGTCTCAATAAATATTCGCGAGGTGTTCGTGATGCGAAAATTCGAAGAGGCAATCAAAAAATGAAACTTCTCAAAGAAAAACACGAGGCTAAAGGTGATCAGCACGTCTTGCCGTCTGCTACGAACCCGTACGAATTTGACAGTCCAGTTCTGCCAAACCCACCAGGTCCCTATCATCCGTGCTCGTCGCAGCCTCACGTTGAATGTCACACTCCTTATTATACCAATTACGGCATGTATAATCCAACTTCTCCATATCAACAATCGTCTCATCCCTATGACCAATCAGGATTTCATCAAGATTGGAACATTTCCGGGTTTGGCACTTCGCCATTCGCAAATAATCACACAAGCATGCCACCATATTATCACTCCAATTCCTTCTAATTATGTATAATCGACAACGGACGAAATTGGGGTGCGATTTCTCCATTATTTGAATTGCCGCTTTGGGTCTCGTATGGAATAACATTTATGAGCGATTTTTGTGAACGTCAGAGTCAATTTCGTTGACCAATTAAACGGCAACCCGCGCAATTCAAATCTCTCAAATTCGTCCGTCCGCCATTATATTCCTATAGTTCTTTTCCGGTTTCCTCCTACTACCATCTGTTTCAAAAATTTCAAATACACAACAATTACAATGGTATTATTTTTTATTTATCGATTGGATCCATTAGATGTACCCGTGTACAATAAAGCGGGCAAATAATAAGGAGATAATTACAATTTGTACATAATTAGATGGTTAGTGATTTAGTCGACTTCTTCAACAGTCGGTCCGTTTCCGCCAGGATAGTTGGCGCCAGAGAAGCCAGATGATTGGGCATTTCCGCATCCCGTCGAACCGCCGCCATTCTGATGGATCTTCGCCATAATCGATTGGCTGATCTGCTTCAACTCATTCTCCTTCGCCTCGATCTCGTCCTTCTCCGCCAATGTGTTCGATTCCATCCAACGGAGCGTCTCGTCACAGGCTTCACGTGCACGTTGTACGTCTTCCGGGCTCAAGCGGCTACCATATTCGTCGAGAGCTTGCTTGCATTGGAACGCATAAGCCTCAAGTTGGTTCCGGGCAGCCACACGTTCGCGTTGAGCTTGATCTTCTTGCTCAAACTGTTTAGCTTCATTGACCATTCTGTCGATTTCAGCTTGTGATAGTCGTCCCTTCTCGTTTTTGATGGTGATCTTGTTGGACTTTCCGGTGGACTTATCGACAGCGGAGACGTTCAGGATTCCATTCGCATCGATATCGAAGGTAACGTCGATTTGTGGGACTCCGCGTGGCGCCGGCGGTATTCCAGAGAGTTCGAAAGTTCCGAGACGATGATTGTCACGGGTCATTGCGCGTTCACCTTCGAACACTTGGATTGAGACACCAGGCTGATTGTCGGCGTAGGTAGTGAACGTCTTCGTCGCTTTCGTTGGAATCGTGGTGTTGCGATCGATGAGGTTGGTCATCACACCGCCGGCAGTTTCAATTCCAAGACTGAGCGGCGCCACATCGACGAGGAGCACATCCTTGATGGAATTGTCCTGAACTCCAGAAAGAACCGCCGCTTGAACGGCAGCGCCATAAGCGACAGCCTCATCCGGATTGATAGAGCAGTTCAATTCCTGAAAATATTCATCTCACACATTTCATCGACCTTCAATTCTCTCACCTTTCCGTTGAAGAAGTCCTTGAGAAGTTTCTGGATCTTCGGAACACGGGTGGATCCTCCAACCAAAACAACTTCGTCGATCTTCGATTTGTCGAGTCTCGCGTCACGAAGAGCCTTCTCAACCGGCTCCAAGGTCTTTCGGAAAAGATCCGCGCAAAGCTCCTCGAAACGAGCGCGAGTCACTTTTGAATAGAAATCGTGTCCCTCGTGAAGAGAATCAATTTCAATCGTGGCTTCGGATGAGCTCGACAAGGTCCTCTTCGCGCGCTCGCAGGCAGTTCGAAGGCGGCGAAGCGCGCGAGGATTCTCTGAAAATCGATCATTCAACTACCCAAAACTGTTTAAAAATCGGCTTACTTGTAATATCTTTTCCTGTCTTCCTCTTGAATTCAGCGACAAGGTGTTGAAGCATGCGCTGATCGAAGTCTTCACCTCCCAAGTGAGTGTCTCCGGCGGTTGACTTCACTTCGAAAATTGATCCTTCGGCAATTGTGAGAATCGAAACATCAAATGTTCCTCCTCCCAAGTCGAAGATCAACACATTCTTCTCATCCTTGAGGTTCTTGTCGAGACCATAGGCAAGAGCAGCCGCAGTTGGTTCGTTGATAATGCGAATGGCGTTGAGTCCCGCAATCGTGGCAGCATCTTTGGTCGCCTGACGCTGGCTATCGTTGAAGTAGGCGGGAACTGTGATAACAGCGTCTTTGACTGTCTTGCCGAGGTACGTTTCTGCGGTTTCTTTCATCTTTTGAAGGACCATCGCGGAAATCTCTTCCGGATTAAACTGGCGACGTTCGGACTTCACTTCAACCTGGAAACAAATAATTTCAGAACCGTCACTTTAAAAAAGAAAATCTCACCTCAATCACAGGTTTTCCGTTCTTGTTCTTGACGGCGAATGGGAAGTGCTTCATATCCGCCTGAACCGCCGAATCATCGTATCGGCGTCCGATCAGTCGTTTCGCGTCGAAGATGGTATTCTCCGGATTTCTGGCAGCTTGGTCTTTAGCTGCATCGCCGACAAGACGTTCTGCTTCTGTGAAAGCGACATACGATGGAGTGGTCTTGTTTCCCTCAGAGTTGGCAAGGATCTCGACCTGTAAAACTCAATCAACACCCAAGAAAACGAAATGCGAACAAGCTCACCTTTCCATTCTGATAGACTCCAACGCATGAGTAGGTAGTACCGAGGTCGATACCAATAGTGTTGCAAGATGACATTGTTCGTAGTTATAGAGAGCGCAGTAGAATTTAACTTCAGTCAGTTGAGCATTATGCCGAAATCCGCTCCTTTTATACTGGAGGCCAGCCATTCTCGAGCCTTCGAAAACATTCGAGAAACTCTTCGATTCTTCTCTTCTCTGCCGTCTCCTCACTCTCGGCGCGTCTCTCTCACTGTTCTCGTCGTATGCGTCTCTCATTTCGCAACACTCTCTTGCTTTCGAGAACAATGCGCGAATAACAACGAATTTTCTGGAAGAATAATGCGTATTGAAAACATGCACCGGCAATGGATTTCACGCGATTTTGAGAGGACCATCAAGTTTCTAGATATTTCCATATCTACGAAAGTTTTGTATGCAAATTTCTCGGCATTTTTCGAGCCTGTCAGGTTTAAAACATCAAGTCAAAGGAATTGATGTACATGGATTGTAGCAAAAAGATAATTCGGATTCAATTTTTTTGAAATTGAATATTTAAAAAGCAAATTTTTTGGTACAATAAATGGAATCCTTTCTAGGTGTTAATTTATTGTGATAATTTCTAAATTGAGTTATATAATTAAAAATGAATAGCAGTTCTGATTGAATGTTTAAAAAATAAGTAAAATATTTTGAAAATCGAGAATCAAAACGTGAAATTGCCAGCATGCGTCAATTCGAGGCCGCCTCGTCAGTGCTTTATTATCGAATAGAACTCCGCTTGGAGATTGAGTCTTCCGCTTGATTATTAGTCTTTTTTCCAAGTAAGGACATTCAAAAAAAGAACTGTCGGTTGAATGCCTTGCAGCTCGTAATGGCCTATGTCGATAGTTATTATCTGGAAGACAGAGTCGATGCGAATGTGCAACGAATCGGAGATGACGAAGTATTGTGAGAATTGATTACCAAATAGGGTTGATGTGATTTAGGTAGACTCATCTGAACCAGCAATCATTATTGGTCAACCGAGTAATTTGCGGATATTTTAAAAATGATACGGGAAATGAAAAATTTTAGACGAGGTTGCTTCTGATTATTGCGGATTTGTGAGCGAAGAAATTCCGCCAATCTATCGCGAACAGCTTCGAGAAGCCGTCAAATCCCAAATGATGCAACGGCCTCTGAAATTGACAACGTCTAATGCAACAATTGTCAAAAAGTAAATCGCAATTTTCTTCGAATCTAATTATTGATTAAGTCCAAATCAACAAGATCTCAATGCTTCAATTATGGACAACAAGCGATATTTCGCCAAGCCGGCGGAATACTCGAAAAAATCCACCAAAAAGGAGATCGTTGAATCCGGCGGCTCAGCGTACGCTTGGGAAGAAACGAAACCAATTGAAGCAATCAGTCCGATCACCATTACGACAACTAATTTATATACAAATGATTATTATACCAGTAAGACTTTTTAATATGGCATTTTTAATTTTTTTTTTAATCGATTTGAGGGTTTTTTAAGGATTCAAAAATTATGAAATCTTTTGGCTGTGGAAATCGTCTTCATTTTTTCTATGCCCTTAAAAGAACAAAGACGAAATTTGTCCATTTTTTAATCAATACGATTAAAAATTGAGGCCCATACAATTTTTTTCTGTTTTCTGATCTTCTTCGATTCTGAAAAAAATTTCACAATTATGTTTTTTTTAATGATGCACAGAACTTTTACATTCACACTGTTTAGGCAATTGAGAATAAAAGTTCACAAACATATGAGTGGTCCCCCAGTCTATTCATCCGATCTCTAATTAAAGATTTCTCACAAAAATGTAAACATCTGAGTTTTTTTTTTAATTTTAAAGCAGTATTGTGGAAAAACGACGAATGTGAAAAACTGCAGCGATATCCTATGCATTGTGTGCGTACACCGAGTCGCACATTTCGATCTTAGCTACAGTAATCTCATCTGAAACTTATTTAATTAATTATTAATCGTTTCTTTTTATATAAAACAATTAACTTTGAAAATATACAAAAATGAATACCAACGCAAACGTATACATAAAACCATAAATTCGCCAAGAAAACAAAGAACAATTTTTTTAAAAATTGAAAAAATAATTTTCAGTTGAGATTACTGTAGCTAAGATCGAGATGTGCAACTGGGTGTACGCACACAATGCATAGGATTTTGCTGCAGTTTTGCACATTCGCCGTTTTTCCACGATATATATGTGATTGGGCAAAATTTACAGCTGATTGTCTAACTGTTCACGATTATATTCCCGGATTTTCGCCACCAACCCAAAACGATAATGTTCAATATCGCACGGAGTTCAAATTGCCCAAGGCTATGGTGGCCGAAGCTACCGCAAACATTTTCCACGTTGCGCCGGTATGAGTGCACGTTGTTAAAGAAACGTTTTGGATTAAATTTTTCAGACCTCGAATCGACTTTCGACGCTCTCCATGACCGGTGTTGAATCGAGTCAAAGCAATGATGTGAGCTCACTATCGACGGCAAGAGTACAATTGGTCGGCGTTTGCGAATATTTCAATCTTTCATATTTTCAGTTGGGTCCTGCTTATGGCTGCCTGTCAACCAGTGGAAATCAGAGTTTTGTCGGTAAAGACCATGATTACGCAGCGAAATATGCAGGAATTGGGGCATTCAAGCCAGTGAACACCACCGTTGATTCGCATTATGTTGCCGCAACTCTTAATTGAGCATCACCATCACGACCAATTGACATTTTTTATCGATTTCAAATAAAATTGATTTTATGATTATGCTATAATAACGAGCCAATTTTCGATTATTGAGGGTAAATGCGATTCTTTTTCAATTTTCTATTGCGATAATAGAAGGTCCGGAAATGAGGACTCGTTTCATGAGATTGAGCCCATTTCCAACTATCTCGTAGATGTTTTCATTAGAAGACAAAAAGAATCCAGAAAATATGAGTTTGGTTTTCGCTTTCAAGTATGTGCCCATATTGGCCGAGAGTGTGCGCTTCCATCATTTAATCCTCGCGCAATCCTTTCGTTTCTTTTTTATGTGTGTCCAAAATGAGAAAAGCATTCATTTTGCGGTGCTCATCCTTCATCGTTCGCAAATTTGTTTTCCGCGTTTCGCAATTGTTGAGATTCAGATGTCGAATCGTCTTCAAAATTTGCAACAATGGACAAATCGACACGTGTTCACAAATTCATTGGATTATTGGGGTGGACATCCGGAATCGCACGAGTTTGAATCGTACCAAAATTCGTCGCCCAATGAATCAAGTTGAAATAGGAAATTGAAATCCTACGAATCAATTCTTCCGCATTCAGGCACCACATCTGGTCGACCGCCCGTTCCGCCTCCTCCGTCATTGACTTCAATTCGCGAATCTCCAGAAGACAAAACCGATCAAGCTGTTGAGGATAATGTCGAAGGCGACCCAGGCGAACCGATTTCAGCTCTACAGGCTGCATGGAATGTGACGAATGCGATTCAAGGAATGTTTATCGTCGGACTTCCAATCGCTGTGAAAGTTGGCGGTTGGTGGTCAATTGGTGCAATGATTGGTGTCGCATATTTATGCTATTGGACTGGAGTGTTGCTCATCGAGTGTTTGTACGAAAATGGGAATAAAGTTCGCAAGACATATAAGGATGTAAAATATCATTAATGCTCTCTCTATTAATTGAATCTTCCAATTCAGATTGCGGATTTTTATAAACCCGGATTTGGCAAATTTGTGCTCACTGCTCAACTTACCGAACTTCTTTCAACGTGCATTATTTATCTCGTGATTGCTGCAGATTTACTTCAAAGCTGCTTCCCAAGCATCGGTTTCGTCAAATTGAAGTAATTTACCATTGAACTAACAGTTTTAGACAAGCCTGGATGGATGATGTTGGTCAGTGCTGGATTATTGTCGTGCTCATTCCTCGATGATTTGCAAATTGTCTCTCGTCTCTCTTTTTTCAACGCAATTTCGCATCTCATTGTCAATCTCGTCATTCTGATTTACTGCCTCTGCTATTTACCGTAATTTCCTTTTTCAAAATTCAACGGGATTCTTTTCTTTAGACAATGGAGTTTGTCATCGGTTACTTTTTCATTGAACATCAACACGTTGCCAACAATTATTGGAATGGTCGTTTTCGGCTATACGTCGCATATATTTTTACCAAATTTAGAAGGAAACATGAAAGTAAACATTCGAATCGTTATTTTAAAAGAATCGCTTGATTTATTACGTTCAGAATCCAAAAGAATTCAATTGGATGCTGAAATGGTCTCATATCGCAGCAGCCGTATTCAAAGTTGTTTTCGGGCTGTTCGGATTTCTGACGTTCGGAGAGCTCACTCAACAGGAAATCTCAAATTCGCTACCCAATCAAGGCTTCAAAATTCTGGTTAACTTGATTCTTGTGATAAAAGCTCTCCTGTCGTATCCACTTCCATTCTACGCAGCCGTACATTTAATCAAGAACAATCTATTTTTGGGATATCCGAAGACTCCATTTACAAGGTGAATAAGAAATCAGTGTACATATTTTTGGACTCAAATTATAGTTGTTATTCACCGGATAAATCATTGCGAGAATGGGCAGTGACTCTTCGAATCATTTTGGTGCTTTTCACCTTATTTGTTGCCCTCTCGGTTCCGTATCTCGTCGAACTGATGGGTCTCATCGGTAATATCACCGGAACAATGCTCTCTTTCATTTGGCCGGCGCTATTCCATCTTCATATCAAAGGAGCAACTATTGTGAATAGAGATAAACGGTTAGCAAATCAATAAAACCACCCAATAACGGTAACCATTTCTAGATTTGACCAAATGATCATCGCAGTCGGATGCACTATTTGCATTTCTGGCGTCTATTTCTCGACCATGGAACTTCTTCGCGCAATTAATTCTAATGAACAATAGAGTTTTTGTAAATAGCCTAGTAAACATAGAATATTACGCATAGTTTATGAACAGATATACACAATGAGCATTTTTTACTTCGTCCAGGACACTTTTGGAATGTCGTTGAACTCAGTGAGCTCTTCCATTTGCTTGTTGAATTGTTCAACCTTCTCTCGATGACTCACAGCCGCGCGCTTCAGCATTCGTTCTGCCTTAAATAAAAATAGTTGAATGGCCGTTTAAGAAAGTAAACTAATACCATGTTAGCTTGCTTTCTCGCTTCAAATCGTAGTTCGGCTTCTGTTTTTTTGCTTGCCGGTGAAGTATGTTCTTTTCTAAAAAAAATAATAAATAACTTTAAAAATCTCGGAAAACATATTTATGAGAAGCAGCAACTTAACGATAAAACTCTTTTAGAAAGATAATCGAATAGGCTTATGCCACAATGTTTATATGTCAACGATATGGGTCCACATTGAAGTCTCGAAAATTTTTCGTATCCGATTGTAAAATTTATGCAATTCGGATCCGAGTGGTTTGAGTTACCAGAATCAATAAGTACTCGGCAAGCCCATCGGGGGAACAGACATTTTTCCTTGGTTCCGGCGAAATCCGCAGGTACACTGTTAAGAAAAAAAGCCCCCCTTTGTTTGCTCAGGTAAATCGAATAAAATATTTTGAGATTCATTGAGAAACTAAAGTATCGCTATAATATTTTAGATTTGTCTCAATAAACTTTAGGAAATCTCATAAGATTTTAGAATTTATCGAGATAATTTAGAATTTGCTCAATAAATTTTAGAAAATCTTATAAGATTTTAAAAAATATTTTTAAGTTTATCGACTCTAATATGTTTTAAAGTAGTCGAAAGTATCAATAAACTTTATAATTTCTCAAAATATATATTTAGAGTTTATTATTGAATATTTGATTCTAAAAATATTTTATTTGATTTGTCTGAGTGCCTGGTGAGTTCGTCGTGTTTTACGTTCTTCGCGAAGATGCATGATTTTAAAGACATTTCGTTTTACGGAATCAATTAATACTTAAAATAAATCGAATATGACAATTGTAATACCTTTTAATAGTGACATCTAAATTCTGTACATCAACCTTTTTCTTTTTCTTCTTGAACAAGTCTCCGCCTTTTTTGAGCTTGATACCGCCTTTTATCACCGTTTCTTTTAAATCTTTTGTCATCTGAAAAAAAATTGAAAATGCTATTAAAAAAGAAACACGAAAAAATAAATAGGAAAACGCAGAATAAGACGCGCGCGTGTGCGTTTATTTGCGAAAAATGAATGTCCGCAAACACCGACTACCAACAGTGCATGCACGACTTCGAAACAATTTCGGAAAACTTATCGGGTCTAAACAGGGGAGTTTTCTCGGTTCCTGCGAAACTCGCATGTTTCACTGCTTCACCCTTTCGAGAAAAACGACAAATTTGTTTTATATTATGTTATTGTGTTTCCCAAAATTCGTCACTTGTTTCACCGAAAACGAAAACCGATCTTTTTTGTTTCACCAGAATTCCGGTGCATGTTAACTTCCACCGACAATCCAAAGTGAACTCCGTTTCTTTGTCAAAATTATTTTCTTGAAAATGTAGAAATTTTCTTTCAAAATTTTTAAAACTCATCACAATTCCATTTTTTAAAGATAATTTTGAATTGATCAAAAATAACGAGAATTTCCAAGAATTGTTCAAGGCAAATTTTTAATTTTTGAAACCAACCACGATCGGTTGGCTTTGGGGGAGGGTCGGAATTTGGATATTGATCACTTTTTCTGATATTTTAAGCATCTACTTGTCACCAGACTATTCGAAAACCTGTTAATTTTGCAAAATATTGAATGTGTCCTTCTCTACCGAAACTCACCAAAATCCATATTTTCGGCTCTCTTATTGATTACAATCCAAAAAGTGTCAATTTGTCAAATTGGTCGTGTCGAAAATAAACAATTTATTTCAATTAAACGATAGCAATTAACGTGTACCTGGTCTTAATAATTATGATAAAACCGTTATGCATCATCCACAACCAAAAATGGGAAAATAGAGATTCTAGGAAAAGAGAAGGGGAATCACAGCGGCTCGAATAAAAAATATGAGAAAGCGAAAATGCAATAAAACTTTGACAAAACCAAAACATTATTATATTGTGTGAGAAATACATATGAAAAGCAAAATAATACTGTTTAAAGAAACGGGGGGGGGGAGAGGGGTAATTAAAAACCAATGGGATCCGACAAAATTGGGCTCCGAATTTGGATTGGAAATTCTAAAATTCTACGGATAAGATTGTTAAATTTCCGGATCCGATTGGTTATTATTAGAATCTGTTTTTATTTTAGTTTTTCAATTCGAATCGGATCCGACAAATTACCAATCGAATCCGAAAACCAGTGGGGAGGGGGATAGAAGGCACAAGTTTTTGAAGAACCATTGCTTGTAAGGGTAAATAATAAAGGAATGAGATAAATCACCGAGCGAGTATGAATTCTGCGTAAATACATAATAGAACATGAAACGACTAGTCTTGGTAGGCTTCAAGCTGCCATTTTTGTTCGGGTCGGTCGTCAGAGCAATCTTGTAGAATGATTTTGTCGGCACTCGCGGCGATGCATTTTCCCGATTTCACATGTTTCAAAGTACCAATCTGATATGGAAAATTGAATTATTTTTCTTATTACTAATTTGCTAAATTTCGAAAAAAAGCTTTACCTCGGGACTATATTTGAAGATATGTTTGGGGTTCAAACGGCCAACTGCACACTTCTCTAGTCTCAATTCGGACCCCAATTGGAATGCGGGGCCAGTTGACAAACACAAGTCATCAGATCGGATCTCACCTTTTCCGGTTAAAGACCAAGCCTGTAATTGTATAAATTAATAGAAGAGAAAAAACAATTTTTAATAAAAGGTGAGAACTTTTTAAATAAACGTGGGAAATTTGAAACTGGCCGCAAACATAATAATCAACCCAACTTTGTCCCAACTGAATAGAAATAACTTCAACATAAAAATGTTCCCTTCAGTCGTTTTAACCTGTGAATTATACCAAAACGGATAATGCTTGAACGCATTTGTTGTATCAGGAATTGTAAACGTGAATCCGTCAGGAAACCGGACAGTCTATTTAGAAAAAAAAAATGTCAAATTCGATCGCCGCCAGATATTCGATATTAATTTTCCGCAAAAGATACCTGATTTCCACCAGCACCGTGACACGCTTGCATTCCAGCCGGTTGTCCGTCCTTCTTTCCATTAGTGTCGAGGCATTTCTGGTCCAATCGATTTGTCACAGCGCCGAGAGAATGATAAACCGATGGAAGCGGAGCTTCCGGATAAATCGTTTCAAGATACCATTTGAATGATTTGCATTGAAGTTGTTCTCGAAGTTTTCGGCGCGGAGTAACATCACCAGCATCCACATTCCGAGCGGCTAAAATTATTATTTTTTAATTTTCATCATTTGAGATAATTCCTAATATTACCCGGCACCATTTTGTAAAAGAATGCCTTGTAATCATCCATCCAGACTTCAGCAGTTCGAGCGGCATTGTGATGAATAACCTTGGCGGTTCCTCCAGGGAACGTGTACGGCGTCTGCTTCCGGAACACATGACCGACTCGCGAACATGGGTGGATTTCTAGTGAACCTCCACACATCCAAACCTAAATATTTTAATATTACTTCGAAAATTTGCTTAATTCTTACGCGAAATGAGATTTCCAGGTTTTCACCTCCCCAAACTTGCATTCCTTCGTCATAACTTCCAATGTCATAGAAGAATTGTTTGTCGATTGCAAACAATCCTCCAGCAATCGTTGGAGTTCTGTAACAGTCATTCCGTTATATTAACAGAGAATTGATATTACTGAATAGGAGTAGAACGATCTTTTCCACGACGAATAAGCTCTCGTTTAGGCACTGGATACCAGCGGAAATTCAAATGCCAATTGAATCCTCCCCACGTTGTGTCGGAAGCCGTTACATACTCAAATGTTTCATCTGAAATTGTTTCGTTGAGTCATTTTGAAGCAGTTGAATTCGATCACCGGAAATTACGTCGATAATCGGCGCAACAACACGTTTTCGATCTTCTGCGACTCTGGCAATCAGCGGTTCCAACCATCCCTCCGTAACTTCAACATGCGCATCAAGGAACAACAAAATTTTGCCTTTCGCCATTTCCGATCCGGTCAATCGTGCTCGAATCAATCCGCTTCTATCTTCGAGATGAACAATGTGAATCGGAATCTTTATAAAATTGATAGTTTGGACCGGAAAACCAATAAATTTTTTTACCGGAAATTGCTGAATATAAGCATCGAGCGGTTTTTTCAGATAATCTCTGTCTGATTTATCATCAACAAGAATGATCTCTTCAAGTAAGTGGAGCGGAGATCTGCAGAAATATCGAATGTTTCGATAAATCAAAATCGATTCTCACCTATTTACAACAGAATGAAGGGTTCTTAGTAATGTTGTCCACGCCTCATTATGAAAAACAATAATAATCGAGGTTTTGACGAGCTTATTAGAATCGATACGTTCAGCCAGACTTAGACACCTTTAATATTATCTCAATTATTGTAACATACTTCTTATCGAATTAAAACATACGCAGCATTCCTATAATCGGGCAGCGTCCGATTTACTGAGATCATTTCCGAAGCAACGACATTAAACTGATTCTCGAGGAATCGTTTATTTTTGACGCTTTTCTTCTCATCGGGTACCACTACTCCAGTGCCTCCTTGGCCGTGAAATCCGGGGGCAAATGCTTGAACCGACATTAATTCGGCGAGACGTCGCCCAGTTTCAGGGTCATACGTCGGTTTATGTTGAATTTTTTTGGGTGTTGGCCTAATTACACCCTGAAATCATGTAATTATTCTATAAAACCATTCTCATTTCAAACGAACTGATTGCGCGGGCTTCAGTGCTTCGGCTTTTGAATCAATTGATCGATCACCTCGCGTTAAAAACTTTCTGAAAGTTCGAAATTGTTAATTGAATTTTGTTTAATTATTATAATTATGAGAAGGAGCAGATCGCAATTATTTATAATGAGACATTTTTAATTGAGCATCTCCCGTGCGTTGCTATTTCATTTCTCATTCATTTTTCTTTCGTATCAAGTTTTTAACCTCATAATCTCATAAATTTGAATGGAACAGTGCGTTATTTTCTAAACCGATAATGATAAATCCTTGATTGTTTTTTTTTAATTATTATTACTGGCGAATCGTGAGTTAAAGTGAAATCGTTTCTAGGCTTGTTGTTTTGAAGCCAGCGACGGTCGACCTTAGAGCGAATTAAAAAATTAGTTGATAAAATAATTTTCAACCAATTCTATTGAATAGTTTCGATATGGAAATCATTTATGAACTCTTTCATGAAATTCATTTTATTTTAATAAAATAAGTATTATCGGCTTATTTAGTCACTTACTCACTTATTTATATGACTAAGTATACCGATAATACATATTTTCTAAAAAAAAATTATTGCAGCAAAGAAACCCCAAAATGCCAAAATATATTAAGGAGAGGTCTCGGTACGCGGTGTGCACCTTTTACCTATCCTATGCTTAGATCCCTCCACTTTAATTTTTCAAGAACGCTGGTTTTTTTTTGAATTTAGCCTATTTTTCGCAGCCACGACTTAAACAATATAAAATTCATTAAATGTGATCTTTTTAAACTCCTGAACATAAAAACTGCGTAATTTTTTCATTACTGCGTGAAAAAATATGTCCATTAATATTTGATTAAATTAGATAATTTCGGCTCATTCAACGGAATATGCGAAAAACGCCTCGGCCCGATCGAAACAACATACCTGAGGATTTCAATTGAATTTTCACATAAAAATAAATCTAAGAATTCGCAAACTCGGAATCAAGGAAGACTCACAAGTAGATGGACATTTGCTTTTAACTTCGAATTATTTCTTACCCTGGCTCCGTTTGTGCAGGTGAAGAATCTAAATAGTAAAACAGCACGACGACATCGATTAGAAGCCACACGATCGATGTGGCGATGACTGCTCGGCACACCGCCGACCGGCCACCTCCGACACCCAACATTATAAAAACGACCCGCTAAAACAACATTATTAGATTAGATGAGAAATAAATCAACAGCAAGAATCAATAAATATAAAAGCGTTAGATTACGCAAAAAACCGAAATCAAACTAAATTGAATAAAATCTACTTTATTAAATTCTCTGTGTTATTATCATAGTGATTGAAAATATTAAAGCACCATGTTCAAAGTGTGCTATCACATTTTGGGAACTGAAAGAAAATCGACAAGACTAACTGAATATCTGAGCAATTTTTGGGGGTAGTCGGTATAATTAACATGAATCGATTAAATATGATTGATAAATTATGCAATCTGATTAGTAGGGGATGGAGCAAATGTGACCACTGGCGATTTCGGGGCTCCAATAGGAAGAGCAAGGCCACATGCAATCAACCATTCGCCAATATCTCGACCACAACATGAGAGCTTTGCTTCACATAGAGGAACCGCAGGTGCATTCAATTGTTTCCATTGGGTCCACGATGAATTTGGGGTAGGTTCAACCTAAATATAAATAATTGCATACTCATTGGATATATTTAGTTGAATGGATCAAAATGTGTAGAATCACAATGGGTCAAAACTATATAAACCCGGTAGAAGGAAACAAGAATTCGGAAAATAAAAAAAAGTTTTTTTTTTTAAGTTTTAAAAAACAACAAATGTCGAAATTTGCAAAAGTATCTCACAGTGGGTATAACACAAACTAAAATTAGGGTGACATTCAATTTTGTATTTCATTTTACCTCAAAACGCCCAATTAGCCGAATCACTCAGACAACATTTGTTGACGACGGAATGAAACTTACGATGACTGGTTCTCCGCACGCGGCTTCGAAAAATTCGCGTACCGCCTCATGCGCATCGCGACTCCACACATCGCCCGCGATTGGTTTGATATTCGCGATTTTGCACTTGAACATTAGCATTTTCTTGAAAGGAGACGTCGCATTCAATTTTCTCATCGCTTCCTTGCGAACGTATTGAAAAGCGCCGACGTCGAGCAAATAAACACAATACGCTTGACGATCTGAAATTTTGAAAATACATATTTTCATTACTTCGTTATTAGATAATTAATTATGAAACAGAATTAATAGAGTAATTATTGGTTTCCTTCTTTTACTAACAACTCTTTTGATTTGGAAAAAAAACGCCACTTTTCTCATTCACTACAATTTTTATGCATGTTTGGATACAAGCGAATTAATAAAATTCCTACCAATCTTGCTGCTACGAATACATTGGACCCTCTCCCATCGATTGTCAATTATCGCCGCATAGAATGCTCCGAATTCCGGTTCGGAATTAAGTTTTGATTCGGCAACCGCGCATTCTTCTTTGAGTTTCGCATACATGTAATCTGGCATCGGATCCAGTGACAACTGTCGGAGCGAGATGTCAGCGGGTCCTGCAGCGAAAATCGCGTTTGCTGGGAATGGAGATGACGGCATTTGCGAAATCGACATAGGTTCGATCACTGCGTGCTTGTCGAATGAGCAATTGGTGAGCACCGTTGAAGGAGGCGTGTTCCCATTTTTAGCATCGCTCTTCTTATTCGAAGAAGTAGATACTGGTGAGCTAAGCTTAATAATTCCGGTGGGCTTCTTCAACAGTTCGGTGATCGATTGGTTCTGTTCATTTCTCAAATCAACCGTTGGAATTTCATTGTCATTCCCTTCTTTAAGACTATCAAGCTAAAAAAAACCGGGCAAAACATGCCAACTTCCAAAGGAATTGCTCACCGTCAAACTAAGTGGTGATTGAACTCCGCTGGTATTCTGTCCAAACGTCAGTTCAATGAATCGATTGCTCAAATTCAAAGCCTCTTGATCGCTAATATCCAAACGTACTTCACGTGCCATCGACCCTACTAAAAAATTCATTTTAATTGACATTTCAAAATGTTCCCAAAAACCATTTTAATCGTCTGTTCTATTGTTTCGTTAATTGTATGTTTTATCTTTCATTTAGCGAAAATTCGAATAAAATCTCAAAACGAGTTGCTATTACAAATTTTAAATTCAGCTAGCTCAATATGACCAAGACGATTTTGCCAGTAACGAGCAAATGAGTGATGAACATATTCGCGAGCATCTCAGAGATAGAATCGATATTAATTCTAATGATTTAAAGAAAAAAGAGAAACGCGGCTTCTATTATTTTCATCTGGCTGATACAAACAAGGATTTTCAAATAGATGGAATTGAATTGTATAAAATGCTCATTGAGCATTCACATAAAGGCAAAAATTGTTGTTGAAACCAAAATTAAACATTGTTTTAGGACATCAAGGACCCCATATCGAAATGGATTGGACGGTAGTTGAATCGAAAATCGATAGGACATTGAGGTTAATTTCCGAAAGGTTTAGAATATTAGAAATTGATCAATTTCAGTAAATTTGATGTAAATCGGGATGGATTTATTGATTTTAGCGAATACACAAAATATCTTAGTAGATTTGATTCTTAGTTGAGATTCTCTAATAAATATGGCATTCGTTTCTTTGTTTACCTGACATGACAGGATGTCCAGCAGGTGGAAGCAGTCGAATAGCAGCAACCGGAAACTTCTCGCACACGCCGACATCGACGAAATGGCAAAGGACCATTCCAGCGTGCGGTGGTTCCTTGGCAATTACGCGGAACCATGAACCGGACGAATCTTGGAGTGCGTACGCCCCACCGCAAATAATTTGCTGCAATTTATGCGCATTTTGTTTCATATTCCAACAATTCATGGTTACTTACATAAATGGCGACACGGCTGTCCAAAGGGGACGGCGGAAGCTCTTGAGCATAATATTCAGCGAGTGTTGCACCGATTCGCTCAAACTGATTCTCGTCGATTGAAGCACGAATGAAAAAGCGTAGAGGAGAATCAGCACTAACCACCAACACTTTATTCGATTCTTTCAACGACGACGACAACTTCGAAAGCTGGAATTGCATTTAGATTAACGCTATATTAGCTAAACACGTACATTTATATCATTACAAGGATTAGCTAATTAACGAAACAATGTAATTTGAGATTGATCAACTAGCCGAATCGTTCTATCAATTTAACACGACCAAAGAGAAATTTCTATTAAACTGCAATTCGGTTCGGATTTGTAAATTGAGCGAATATAAGTTTTGAATTGATGTGAAACATTGACGATCTTCGATGAACTACTAGTTTCTTATTAATGAACCACATCTTAAAAATCATGTATTCGCATATTAATACACTATTAATCTAGTTATTCTCGTTTCATTTTATTAATTACCGTTTTCGCATGTTCCAATGGTTCGGTCTCTTTACGATGTTTTAACTTGTTCAATTCTTCAGTTGTCGGCTCGCGATCGGTGGAAATCACTGGAATGCATTTATTGAAAAAAAAAAGTAGCGTCATCGATATTCTTTTCAAGCACCAATTCACCACAATTTTGTTTAGTGCAAATAATTTAGTGATATACACCATTTTTGAAAGAACGAAAACTGTGATTTTTTGGATTAATTTGTCTTGCATAAATATCAATATACCATTAAACAGAAAACATATAATGTATTTATAGAAACGTACTCACAATAGACATAACAACACGGAGCGCATGCAATATCGAGCGATAGTTAAACTCACTTATTAGTAGCAAACAGCTCCTGTAAATTGTTTAGTCGAGTTAAGGAAAGCACACGAGGTTGAAGCACATAAATCGCCGGTACTCGATACATTCATACCTCTCACATTCACTGAATTGATTGGTGGTCGTTTGAACGACGATGTGTTCGAAAGACGGACGAATAGAATTGTGATCGGACCGCGCGTCTGAAAACCAATCACAATTAACGGTCTCGTTTATTGTATTTCCTGCATCAGATATGTCAAGACATTTGATAATTAAACGCCAAACCTGTGCTTCGAATTCCTCGGCGGCTGTCACTTGCTGCAGCCAATCTTCGGGCAATTCTCGTCCAAGTCCTTTTTCAACATATCTAAATATGTGTTTTATTGAAATATTTTGGCGACTTTCTTAAATTTAAGGATATTTATGATATACTTATTGAATTTTTAAATTTCCAAACAAAAAATCTTACTCTTCGTGATACTTTTCGGCAAGATGAGTTGCAGCCACTCCCATTGGAAAATTTTTTTTGATCATTTCGTACAAAACTTCGCGAATCTCTTCCATTTCTTCCGAATCATCCATATCACTACCTCCTGAAATCGAAAATTTACTACATATTAAAAAAAAAACGTGAAAAGGAATTGGAAAAAAACCTCGATCGAAAATCGTCGACGGTACCAGCCCGTTGACCGACGAAAGAAACTTGCTCGATGTGTTCTGCGACGGAGCGGACATTATGAAGTGGCAGCGAGCTCCGCCTGAAATTTAATATCCAATTCATGTTAATCAAAGAAATTTGATATTTAAACGAAATAATTGAGAAATATAAACAAAAATTATTTTACGAAAATGTAAAAAAAAGCAAAGTTGAAAAACGCAATTGAAAATATATATGGTGTGGGATCATTCACACAAATATCACGATTACAGATGCGTCTTCAATTTGTCGGAAATATAAGAAATAATATAATCAAAATAATCGAAAAAAAAGATTTGAAATAATTTTCGACACATTTTGAGAAATAAATCAATAAAGCGTCAGGTGAAAATATCGTATATATGTCATTGTAATCTCTGATTAACACACAAAGGGCAATAATTCTTAAGAACGTTCCGATGCTTGCTGATAAAATGAAATGGGCAGCAAAATGATGCGAAAAGAAAGCGAAACGCCTCGTGGCACAAATATCGATCAATTTTAGTGGAACGTGAGGAAAATGCGGTAAAACAATGGTTTTGGGACACCTTTTGAAAACAGTACACGTTGCACCGAAAGCGACTAGGGTTATGCGAACACACCACAACACGCGCAGAGATATACGGGCGAACCATAATAGGAGGCGAGACGCAGACGCGGCAGCCCTAGTCGGGAAAACACCGACTACAGTCGCCACACGACTGGTAAAAATGCGCGTGTGCGGTCGGAACCCGAATCGCAGCAGGCACGGAACATCGCTGCCTCTCAAACATATTTGACGAGGCGATCATTCAGAGCAATGTTTATACAGTAGACGTCGCCTCATTTACCGCGCGAATACATGTGCTTATTATATTTGATCACCGATTATGGTAAGCGGCGATGCAATTAAACACTCTCACACACACACATTTCGGATCGACAGCCGTCCGTCAACATCCTTATTAAGAATTGAAAGTGTAGACGAAGAAAAAAGCAGACGAACGAAAAAAAGAAGTGAAAGGATATATACGCAACATGCGAATATCCGTAATATAAATCAGCTCAATTAAGAATATATTAGAAATGAGGAGAATAGAAAACTAATTTGACATTAATCACCTTTAATGATCTGACAAAATTTTTGATGATCTTTTCGTAGAATTTCAAGTAAATGGACAATGTTGGAAATTCGGGAAACTTTTTAAAAAGGAATAATTTTAGTAGAAACGTGCTGCTTAGAGAATCGAAAAAAATGGTCAGAAAATAAAAAGATGCGAGAATGCGAAATACCCCAGGGGAGATTCGTAGGACATTTGGAAAATAGATTAAACGAACCGAAACCGTATACGTTTCTCTCGTCCGGAAAATGCCAACACAAAAACAATCATATATCAATAAATAAATATGCTACACATACATATATATTTAATGGTTTCTAACCATTCTAAACCGGTGTCATTCAAAAATTAAATAGTAACAAAACAAATTTATTGACACGTATTTGAAGGAGTGTAGCGAAGTGAAAGCGAATATAGCTATTACCCTTATTATTCTGGACCAATTCAAGTTATTTCAATTTCTTCTTTTATATCGTCCAACGTATCGTAGTCTATTATCTCCCTATCAGATGAATGTAATTCCTGCTCCTGAAAAATATCAGATAATTATTGTTTAAAAAATAATAAGATGGAAAAGTTTCTTTTTTTTCAAATCGATTTTTGATATAAATATAAAAATTTTATGTTCTTCTTCGCTTTGTAATTTAATCGAGATTTTTCTTTTTTATACTGTCCAAGTCTTGCGATTGCGGAAAATTTACAAAACATCGAAGAAAAAAAAACTATGGCCACGGTTTTGGCGCAAAAGTGAATATTTACGAGCATAAAAGTAGCTTAAAGGCGCAAACCGTGCACCTAGGCTTTTTCCTAAAGTTTTGGCGTTTAGATATTTTTCCACAGTCGCACAGCATCGACTGGTTTAATTTCTTTGTAAGTGAATCAATTCCTCGCTTTACTTATATATAATCGAATTGAATGTGCATTTTTGCATACCTACATTGGAAATATGTGTATTTTTATTGCATGAATAGGTCCATTAAGCTACATATTTTAAATAATTATTTAGAAAAAAAAACCGTTATTTTTTTATTCAAAAATTTTTAAAAATAAAAATTAAGAAATAATAAATAAAGTTTACTTCTGATAATTCGTCCGTTGTAAAATCGTCATCGTCATCCTCGTCTTCATCTTCAAGATAATTCATAATATCCTGATCGTCGGTAAATGTTGTCTGTGTGAACTGTTCGGAATAGGGCCTTAAATCAAAACTATATAGGAAAATAAAACAATTCTCTTTAGCTTCACACATATTTCTGACGACGACTTTGGGAATTTTAAATCGAAGACGTCTGAATTTCAATATTTGTAGAGCCGCTTTATCTTGTAAATCCGAAATCTTTTCCATTGTGAGATTTGGCTGGAAAACATTTGCTTCTACTCAGTAGTGTTACTAGATAACAAACTAATCTGTAAAACTTCATGGAAAAAATATATATTCAAAATCTGATATTTCGTTATTTTAGATATTTCAGATTTTGTTAAAGGTATTCAAGTTGATGATTAAAAGTTTGAAAAAGGGAAAACAATGCAGCAGAAATTGCATACTGTCACAGAGAGACGAATTTGAAAAATTTTGAATATTTCGGATGGATCTCAATTGTTGGTGTAAGTTGCTATAATTGTAATCAGCGAGATCACACTCCTAAAAATTTTACATACAAAACAAAAAGCTGCATTTCGATAATTTATTTTTTTAACAAAATGACAACTTCGACACAAACGACAACATTTTCTCAAAATCCGTTATTTAAACAGTTTTTATTTATTAATTATTAAACCTTGTGTTTTTTCTATTGTATTTCAACATTTTTTTAAATTCAAAAGTAAAAAAAAACTTACGCCATCCCTCATCATCATTAATAAAACCTCAAATACGTGTTTGGCTTCTTTTTCTTTATTATTATCATAATCCTTTATTATCTGAAATTAACCAAATCCAATTAATTATCGAAATTCACATATGCTCATTACCGCTATTTGTAATTCAGGATGATTCATACTCATATGAAATCGTCCCTCCTCCTCCGTGTAAAACAATTCTTTCGGGCAATGTATACATCGATACGCGCGGTATTTTAAATGCTCTTTTAAGACATGATACTCGTAACCTTGCCAGGTTTTCACTACTGAATGACACAAAGCACAATATGGAAGTGCCTCATCCTCTGTACATAAATTTATAGCTCATAAACACAATTATTTCAACCCTTACGATTTAAAATGTCGCTTTTTTCTGTTGGAAGCGTATCTGTAAGCTTAACTGGGTGAGCCTGCATCGTTAAAGGAACAGCAAATCGAGCACCAGACTTAAATAACACTTTTATTCTTATTTTATGCTAATTTTTTAAATTACTGTATGATCGACTGTTTGAATCCCATTCATTTTGGCCGCTTCTGTTATTTTTCTCGAAGTTAATGACCCTAATGGTTTATAAGGTTTTCGAGGATTCCCATAATGTGCATGATTGTTTCCCACCCGTTGCATTGAGAACACCGAAGGTAATTTATTACATGATTTTGTCGTCGTTTTAACCCGCTTTGGGGGCATATCATCTTTTGGTTCTTTTTTTATACTCTGAATTAGGATTTCTTTCAAGTTTAAAATGAATATACTTCATTACATACCGTCAGGGACGTTTTTCGATACCCATTTAATAACAGTGGTGGCGCTGTACTTGTAGACTGATACTCTGAATCTTCTGGCTCGACTTTCAGCACTTCTGTCATAACTTCTATTTCTCTGAAATAATTCAATTTTCGACGATTTTAAGTTGTTATTCTTAAAGATATTTAGTAATAAAAATTTTGTGCCACTATAATTTTTTTTCCATTTTTAAGTATCGTGATAAAAATTCCAAAACTACAAAAAATCCAGATAAATGAGATCGAAAAAATGCACCACGCGAAAGACGCCATGGACAAACAACACTGACACGTTTAACGATCGATTCAAAATTTGAAATTTTGTCGATTTTCGAAATTTTATCGTCGTTTTCAGTTAAATATCTAATTTCTAGAATATAATCCAAAAGTTTGAAAATTAATTTTAAAAATGTTCCTAACTTCAGCAGTCATAATAAAATTAAAAGTTATTGTAACAACAACAAAAGTTATCGATACAAAAATTTAGAAATAAATAATTATCCAACTCAAACTTCATTCAAAAACAAAAAAAAACATTTCCGATAAAAAACTTGAACTTATTGAAATGCATTCCATATGAAACCGTTAACTTTTTTTCTGTGTGCGCCTTTGATTGTACAGTAAGAAATTTACATTCCCAGATGAACGTTTTGTTTGGCATATCGATAATCATTCGTTTCTCCCAGTTTTTACTTCCCTCGATTTTAGTGTTCTATAATTAAATTTTCAGCTTTAGCTGATGTCTTCAGCTGAGCTGGAGTTGTGTCTCGATGGAGTTCCCATCGAATTCCCTGCAATAGTCAAAGAAGCAATTCTAGCAAGTAAGTTAAATTAATTTCGAAAATGTAAAATCACTCTTTATTAGCCAAAAGAGATGAGATATTTCCAAATTGTGCTTCTCTGAATGAAAAGTATTGTTGGTATCTTACCAAGTCGCAACTTTTCATCTGGGAACGTCTTGTTTCGGGCACAAATCGAACTCACATACCAATGCAGCTCGCACTTCCACTATCCGGATTGCATTTATCAACAAAAACTGTTGTTGTATATGATGGTGGTAAGATAATTACTCCATTATTTGATTATTTAGTAATTTTTGTAGCACAGCGTTCGAAAGGTCGATCTTCGACAACTGGAGTCCTCATCGTCTCACCAGAAGGAGTACTTCGGCATTGGAACTCTGTGCATTCACAAAGTTATGCTGAATGCGTTCTTGATTTAGGAAATGAAGTTATCCTGTCAGTGGAACTTGTTGATCCACCAACAGAAGACAAACCGGCATCTTTTATTTTGGTTACTACTTCTGGAAGTGTTTTTTATCTTCGAGCGAATCCAGAATGCCCAAATTCAGGAATGTTGGCTCCATATAAAGTTAGCAACTTCAATTTTCAATTAACACTTGAAATTTTTAGATTGCTAGCCGGGATACTTCGAGTATTCGTCGCCGTCTTTCATCGATTATGTTTGGAGGGAACAATCGCGAAATGTCACTAGTGTCTCGAAGTTTCCTTTTCTGGGAAAAACGATCTCAACAGCCATTCGTCGCATGTGTCTATCCAGATGCACTCACAGTATTCGACATTGCTGAAAAACGAGAATTGTGGACTGTGAAATCGAAACACCTATTCGAACCCGTCATCTCGAATTATATTGAGTCGGAAATTGAAGAAAGGTCAATAAATGTAACGTGTCGATTAATCGATGCATCGTATTTCCGAAATGGAATCATGATTCTTGTTGCGGCGACACATGACAAATCACAATTCATTTCGCTCTACCTAACGTTCATCGGAAAAGACTGGATGGAGACGGAGCCGACGGACGCCGTGTGGACAGCTCGAGTTCCGATGCCAGAGCAAAGGGCGTTGTTCTTGAAAAGCAACGAGGGTATTTATACGAAACTCGAACTTCGAATTCCGAGCAGATCAGCTGAAGCTATGAAATCGGAACGAACTGATGGAATTATTATCATAAATCAATTCTTTAGTAACTATCGATTTTTTCTAGCTTATTAAAAATTAATTGTTTCAGTTCAATCAATATATGTCCCAGACGATTTGGAAAATGCAACAATTTGGGATTTGACACTTTGCAAGACCGCCAATTTGCCACCATTGGATATCCTTTTGGGAAGTGCTCTTTGTGCACAATACTGTTATATTCTGATGCTCGATTCCGGCGTCTTCACAATTCGTCTTTTGCCACGTGGATTCTCCGATAGCTTGAACGGCAGTTTCTACACAAACGAGCAATCTTCGTCAAACTCGCTTGAGGATTGGGCTGCGCTGAGTTGTCTGCTCTCTGAGATGGTGGCATCAGGTCTACCAAAAACAGCACCAATTCAGTCATTCCACAAAGCTCTCGATTTGTTCGGTGAGAAAGACATGGTTCTTTCGAGTGCTGAGATTCAGAACATTCGGAAAATGTCCGATGTCGAAATTGCTGAGTTAGTTCAACAGTTTCTGAGGGCAGTTATTGATTATACCGATGAAGCGAATAAGGTGGATGCCGAATTGCATGCGAAGAAGGTGATCACGTCTCGAACACTTCTGTTCCTGCGACATATGGATCTTTTTGATAGGGTTTGAGAATTTGAATGAATATTCGCAAAATTCTATGATGTTTTTCAGGTTGCAAATGCCAAAATTCCATATGATTCGGCGGATCCAAATGTCATGAATGAGTATCGCAGCGGTCTTTCCATGTTGGCTGAAGTAATTCAATGTGTTAATAGAGAATCCAATTTAATCATATATTTGTTTAGATGAATGAACGCGTTGCTGCAGCCGCTGCTCTGTGGCATTGGAGAGGACTGCATGAAAGCAACGCTGAAGTTTTCGATGCAGTTTTTGACGCCGCTGTTAAAAACGTTGTTGAAGCACAGAATCTCGGAATCAATAATCGAGAGACATTCTTTGCGAGACTCGGTTTATTGCACTACATTCCACGCGAAGCTTTCAATCAACTGATGATTGCAATCAATAAGGGAAAATCGCAGAAGTACGAAGTATTCCATTCAATCGCCGATATGTTTATTGTGATCAAAATGGGAATTTCGTCGTTGAGAAGGTGCAAATGTGCGATTGAGAAGAAGAGTGGATGGTGGACATTCCATACGATTACCACATATTACAAAAAACTTTGCGAGAAGATTTGCGAAGAGCTCAAAACGAATATGTGCTCAGAATGCGAACGATCTCGATTGCTTGCATATGTTCTCAAGTATGTCAATCGATTTCATTTTTCGATTAATTTCAATCTAATTCAGTCTTTATGATTTCTACCTTGGCGAAATTGATACTCAACCGGACGACGATAAAATTCTCATGGATATTATTTTGTTCGGAAGGGTATCCGAAGGAATGTTGCTCGCTGAAAAACATAGAGTATAGCGACTTGCTTATATTAAACAATAATTCTTATTTCAGGATTTTGGAGTTCTTGTTAAAATGGCACTGCGATCAGATAAAGATACACGACAGAAATCGTTGAATCGATTCAAAAAAGTGTTCGATTATGACGATTTTGAGATGTATTTGTGCCAATTTCTCAAAAAACATGGTAATATTTAGGGTGTTTTGCATTTATTAATTTCATTTCGATTAAAAACAATTCGGAATTTATAATTGTTTGGTTTGTAGGACGCAATGATATTTTATTGGAGCAAAAAGGCCAACGTGTTGATGAATATCTCGACAATTTCAAAGAATTGCGGTATTCGCGTGAAATCTCAAACAAGCAATACGCCAAAGCCGCTTACACGCTAATGAGCCTCGCTGAAGCAGAGACAAAGAGTTTTGAGCGTTTCGCCGACTTTTTGAGTCGCGCGCATGCGTGTGCACGAGCAGCTGAACCCGGTGAGCCCGGCGTCGACGATGTTCTCAATTTCTACAAGAAGCGATTGCCAGAATTGAAGCATCGCCGCGCAATTCCGATCGATGTTATTCGGGTAATTAGTATTTCTTGAAAAAATTTTAAACTATACGCTTTAGAGTGGTTATGGAGATGATCTTGATGTGATGATGTCGATTGATGAAATGCTCGAATGGAATATGGTCGAATGTTCGACTGACGAGAAGACAATCGAGGGATATTTGCGTGCTTTACACCTATTGTCCGATCTCAAACGAGTCGAGGATTCAGCCGATTTGCAAAAACGAATTGACACCTTGTGGAAACGACTTATTGAAATTGAAGAATGGCCTAGGGTGCATATTTCATTCATTTATCTCATTCGTATTTGCGATATTTCAATTTTAGATTAAAAATCGAGACGAGGCAGAGAAAAAGACAGTGTTTGGACGATTATGCACAGAGCTTGTTGAATATCACCCGAAATTGAGTGAGTTTTAAAACTGAAAGGAATTCATTTTCAAATTTTAAATGAACACAATATTTTTTCACCTCGTGATTGTTTGAAAATTATGCAAATTAGATTTCCATATGCATACGTTGAACGTCAAATAACCACATGACGAAATATATTGATAAATATATTTGGGAATTGATACTCTAAGCAAAGCAGAACTGTGTGAAAATCGCAGTGTCATTTCAACCAAAGTCTTATCGGCAAAATACAGATGTCCCAAAAAAGCCTTGTTTTGGCTCGTTTAATTGATTTCATTGAGTGGCCTATCGGGCGATATGCGGGGATTTCAAATTAATTTTTCCTACTTGGGGATACAATGCAATCGGTGGGATGCTTATTAGGATGCTTCAATTGGCTTGCTAGCCGGTTTTTTCGACTGAAAGATATTCTTGAAAATATTGTTTTTAGACGGTTCGAGCACTTCTGTTTGGTCAATCGAAGATCGTCTCCTTGTTGCTCCGCGAAATTTCGACGAACTTCTTGATTCGTCTCAAATCGACAAAAAATGCAAACCATGGGTTAAAGCACACCTTAAATGGGTTATCGAACGACTTGAGAAGCGGGCGAAACACGGTCGGACGCCGTTCTTCCTTATTGATATGGAGAATGTTGGTTCGCTGACGACGGCGGCTCTCGACGGCTTCGCACCGATTTTGGAGATTCGAAAGCGAAAATGGACCGATGAAGCGATGAATTAACAAATTACTTGAAGTATTAATACGAGTGGTCAAATGAATCCGTTTCTATGTTTCTAATTAATTTATACATTTCAAACTGGTATTTTTTTTTACAATTTTTTATCATAAATTGTTTTCATATGTAATTTTCAAAGATTTGGGTGTTCGTATTCCGTTTGTTCGACTTAATACTTATCATTTATTATTGTTTGATCTCATCTCTAAAACAAGTGCAAAATTATATGGCAATGAACACATCGTTATCGCGATTCATTGATTTTTATCAACATTCATTTTCGTCTCCTCTTTTCCTTCTCTGCGGCATTTTTGACGCAATTTTCATTGAAAATGCTCTAATAATTATGCCGTTTTTTCGACTATTCTCAACGATATTACCGGTTTATTCGTCATATAATGCACTTGATTCAGAAATGGGAGTTGAAGTAGGGTTCAAATTCTTTATTTTTAATTGAAATCACACTAATTTTTTAGGTTGTTGAAGTGAAAATGTCAGCACCTGAAGGATTGTTGTCTTTCGAAGGACAGCAATTGAAATTGGATGAGGATGCGATAAGTGAGATATTCATTCAAATGCCAATTATATTCCATTGTTTTTAGTTGAACAAACTGCATTGAAAATTGAGCAATTTTCACAAATGAATGTTCTTGATTTACGTGGTAATACAATCGGAGTTTTGGCCGGTAAACGATTGGCAGAAGCACTCAGAAAACATCCAGAACTTCAGGTTTTTTTTTCTAAATATTTGTGTTTATTTCCCATTTTATATAACTAATTGTTGTTCTTTTAGAGATGCATTTGGAGTGACATTTTCACGGGAAGATTAAAAACTGAAATCCCTCCAATTTTGGTTAGTTTTGTTTAAACTCATTCATCATCTTATTTTACACTACGAAACTCTTTATGCCTTCTCACCGGATATGGTTTTTTTTCAGAAATCTTTATGTGGAGCAATGATTCAGGCAAATTGCCACATTACTGAGCTCGATCTCTCTGACAATGCTTTTGGTCCAATTGGAGCAGACGGTATGAGTGCAGTTCGTATGAGATAATTTATTGAATTTCTAGGAATAAAAGAGTTTCTCGAATCGCCGGCTGCATTTTCTCTCACCACATTGAGATTAAATAATAATGGACTTGGAGCTGGTGGAAAGCAAATTGCTTCTTCATTAATCAAATGCTACGAAAACGCAAAGCTCGTTAAGCGGGATTTCAAACTAAAACGATTCATTGCTGGCCGAAATCGTCTTGAAGTTCCAGGAGCGGTTGCACTTTCGAAAGCATTCATCGTATGAGACATTTTTTGATTATTTTTTAAATACAAAATTTGTAGAAAATTGGAAGTTTGGAAGAAATTCGCCTTCCTCAAAATGGAATTACTTCGAAAGGAATTATTGCATTATCAGATGCATTCGACGCCAACGTCAACCTTAAAATTATTGATATTAACGACAATACAATGACCGAAGTTGGCGCTACCGCAATAGCCGAAGTCCTTTTGAAACTTCGAAATCTCATCGAATTAGACCTTGGCGACTGTCTTTGCCGTGACCAAGGTGCTTTTGCGATCGTATCGACACTAGATCGTGTTGGAAGAGCTTCTCTTCAGGTATTGTTTTTGGTTTTCGGAATTCTGCTAAACTGTTTCCTTAAGAAAGTCAATCTCAGTGGAAATGAACTGTCAGCGTACGCAATTGAAGATATTGCTGAATATTTTTGTAATCCTAACCTTCAACATGTGTAAGTTCGATTTTTATCCGTCGGAAAAATTGATATGCCATTAAAATCGCGTGTTTATTTCAGGAAAGTCAATTTGTCATGCAACAACCTTGGCAGATATTTCCATGAAATTAGTGAACGCCTTCAATCAAATGTCCTCGATTTTGGAGAATCAGAGTAACATTTTTCGTTTATATAATAAGAAGTCCTATTTTTTTCAAATTATTTCAGAGATGACCAGGGATCACTTTCTGGAGATGATTCTGAGATTGATGAAGACGAAGATGAACTGGAAGGAGAGGACGCAAGCATGGAAGAAGGTAAATTTTTCTTTTTGAAATTGTCATCTATTAAGATTTTCAGATGACGCAAATACTTCTCGCGAAACAGTGATCAATACTTCAATTCAAAAAGGAAAAATTGAAAAAGATATTGATGATCTTGTGTCGAAAGGATTCGGTTGTATGAAAATTGATGGCGCTGAAAATGATGGCGTCTTGTCATTCCTGGATCAGAAATTGAAACTCGATACAGCAGCCAACGGTATTAAAAGAAATGAATTAAAAATGAGAAATTTGGAAATTGTAGCCGAGAAAGTTGCACGTGAAATTGAAAATACTTTGATTGTAAAAACACTGGTACTGAAGGGAAATACAATTGGAGTCGAAGCTGGAGAACGATTGGCAAAAGCTTTAGAATGCCATCCTGAACTGGAAAGATGCCTTTGGAGCGATATGTTCACTGGTCGACTCAAAACTGAAATCCCACCAATTCTGGTAATTGTCCTTCAATTTTTGAAATATAGTTTGTTTTTTGTAGAAATCACTTGGCAAAGCGATGATAGCTGCAAACTGCCAGATCATTGAACTCGACTTGTCGGACAATGCCTTCGGACCAATTGGAGCTGAAGGAATTAAAGAGCTGCTCGAGTCTTCTGCATGCTTCTCACTTGAAATTCTCAAATTAAATAACAACGGATTGGGTGTTGGCGGTGTTCAAATTGCGGAATCTCTCGCGGAATGCTTGAAGAGGTCCGAACAGAATGGAGGCGAATCACGTCTAAGACTCAAAACATTCATTGCTGGAAGGAATCGGCTTGAAAATAAAGGTGCGATGGCACTCGCAGAGACATTCAAGGTTTGATTTCTGAAAATCAAAATTGAAAATGAAAATTGTTTAATTCAGAGATTGGAAACTTTGGAAGTAATCGAAATCCCTCAAAATGGTATCAATAAAGCTGGAATCGAAGCAATTGCTGATAGTTTGAAACATAATAGAAAGATTCGAGTTTTGAATCTCAACGATAACACTGCAACTCAACTTGGAGCTTACGCCATTGCCAAGGTAATGGTTTCATCGAAGAATTTTTAAAGAAATGTTAATTTTTTACAGAATTTGTCTCATTTGCCCCTTTTGGAAGTTTTAGATCTTGGCGACTGTCTTTGTCGCGATCAGGGATGCCATGCGGTTATTGACGAGCTTAATCCGTCTATTCATCGGCACTTAAAAGAAGTGAATCTGACCGGCTCAGAAATGTCACCGCAAGCTGCCGAATTGATTATGAAGAAATGGGAAAAGTTCAATGCTCTTCCAACAAGGCCCATTCTAAAAATTGGGTCTAATAACTTTGGAGGTCGAGTTTAAATTTATTTTCGCATAAAATATTTGTGTTATTTCAGGTTTATTCAAGCAAGTTGGTTCGAAAGCTCCTCAAAATGTGATAATTGGTGAATCGGATGACGATTGTGGATCATTGAGTAGTGATAGTGAAGAATACGATAGCGGAGATTCATCTGATGAGGAAACTGAGATTGATGTCGAAGGAGCCGGTGATTCCTTGGCAATGAAAGATATGCATCGTCATGAACTTCAAATTGAAGCGTTGAAGGTAAAAAAAAAACAATACTTTGAGTAAAAAATTAAAACTTACTTTATTTTATACATGCCCAATTAAATACTTGAATATTAATACTCACTAAATATATAATTTAATGCTAAATTTATTTTCCCGATATACTTTTGTAGTAATTTCATTTAAGCGAGGAATCTCTTGAAAATTAAAAAAAAATTAGAAAATTGATTGGCTAGCTCTCAATTTTTTATGAATAGCCCGTGAAATTGAAAATTTCGTTTTTTTTTTTAATTTTTGAGAAAAACGAGAAAATGCTATGAAATGTTCTATGCTAGACCTCAAGCTTTCAAAAAAATTATGTTTGGAATTTCAGGAAGCTTACGAAAGTCGAGTTCAAGATGCGTCTGCAAGAGTTTTGCTCGAGCTCACCTCGCCGTTAAGGGAATGCCGAAACAATGTTGAAATGATGAATAAAATATTGAGTGTTGCCGGTAATTAGAAATGCAAATTATTAGACGACAAGTCGCCGATTTCAGATGAGGTCGTTCGCCGTGTGGCCGCCGTGAATCGCAATCCGATTCCGACCACAACTCAGCTCATCAATCATTGTGTGGCACAGTGCAAAACGCTTGGAGTTAAGCCCGAAGATGACTGGGGACTCGATTTGAATCCCGACGATGTCGGATTCCTCCTCAAACACCTCATTTCTCGCGGACATTTCGCTAGTGACAAAAATCTCATTTTCCATTATTTGTAAGTCGTTCAATTGAGTTTGTCGTGATTCATTCCATATTTCAGTGGTTCTCATTAATCCGACGTCTGCCGGCGGCCCTTCTTTGATACACTTTGATCGTCGATTTCACCTTTTCATCTTCTCAACTCCCATACATTATTTTTGTTTAATTTTTATTATTTTATCGGAAACTAAACGGATTCTTCTCTACGTTCTCGTTTTTCATAGCAAATAATATTGATCTTAATTTACGCATTGATCGAGCTTCAGTGCCTAGATGATCAAGGAAAACTGTGGCAAGTTGGTAGGAATAGAATGATTATTGTCGGTGACTACAGGACTTGGCTAAATGCCAGAAAACGATGCCAGAAATGAGTGGTCTCGGCGCAAAATTGGCATTATAAATTTACGTTATCAATTTTATATGCAATGTTTACAGTACTTCTGCTTACTTTTTATTTTTTTTTTTCGGAAGCTGGAATATTATAGCGTTAAATTATTTTTCAACTGCGGCTTCCAAACAACATTCTGAAGTTTTCAAGAGTTTCGAATTAAGACCCCCCTAAGACCCCTTTTAACAGTTTAGACACATTTTCAGACTTCTGAAACAGACTGACCGACATAGCTTTGAAATGCGTTGTATTCGATTATACTAGGTTTACTTCAACTCTCAATACTCGAGGTTTTTGTTTTTTTTGTCCTTATTAATAATTCTCTTTTTAGTACTTTTCATTTTTTGATTTGATCTTTGGTCAAAACCAATCGGATCCGGCAAAATTCGACGCCGGAATCAACTTTATCCAATTGGTAATTCTACGAATCAGATTGCTTATATGTCGGATCCGATTAGATTTTCTTCGAATCCGATTGGTAATTATTCGAATCCGTTTTGTTTTTAAATTTCAATTCGAATCGGATTCGCCAAAAAACCAATCGGATCCGACAAATAACCAATCTTATCCGTAGAATTTCCAATCGGATAAGGTTGATTACGGAGCCGAATTATGTCGGATTCGATTGGTTTTGAGTTACCAGAGATGTGTGTGTTTGACAAAACATATGCATGTATGTGCATTCGCTACGTCATTCATTTGAACTTTAGAACCTTCTGAGTAGCACAAAATCGAGTGTTATCTAAATCACCCTCAATCCCTTTCCCTTCCTTATTCGAACTATCTGTGGCTTTTACTTCTTATGACTTGTTCTCTCTTCCTGCAAATAATTCCAGTTTAACATAATCTTTAAATTTCGAAAAAAAAAAATTCCGTACGTAAAATTATTTTTTGAAAGAGTGTGCTCATAGATTAAACTGAAATTTACCTTTGGAAACGTCAAATATTGTAAAAGAATCCAATGCGCATCTAGTAAAGTCCTCGAATCGCTCAATCTGTAAAATTTAATATGAATAACTCGAATAATTTCCACTAGTAATAAAAAATGTTAAAAACGACGAACAATGTTGCGAAAGAAAGAGATGTGTATATAAAAATTATTACTTATTAAATTTACTAATGTTTGAAAACGTTTTGAGCGGTTAAAGACAGCAAAGAAGTATTTTAAAAAGAAAAATAGGCCGAAAAAAAATGTTCGGTGAAAACACGCAGTCCGTAAACACTCTACGACTAATTGCACAGATATACCGTAGGGCGAACATTTTAAATTTTATTTTTGGCCTATTTTTCTTTTTAAAATCCTTCTTTCCTGCTTTTAACCTCAGGCAAATCAAATAAAATATTTTGAGAATCAAATATTCAGTGATAAACTCTAAAATATTTTGAGAAATTCTAAAGTCTATTGATACTTTCTAAAACTTATTGAGAATCAATAAATATTAAAAATTTGGAATTTGTAAATTAAATCTTTTGAGAAAGTTAAATCTTTTGAGAAAGTGTAAAGTATCTCAATATATTGTGAGACTTTAAAATTTGAATAGGGCCCTTATGACTTCCACTGACGAAATTTGCTGCGTCTCTTTTTAAGATCTTCTAAATTCCAATAAATAATTTATGTTTTTGATGTTTCTTCCGTTTTTTTTTTAGCTTTTTGTAATAGTTTCTTCACTTCAGTGATGGACGTATTCATGAAATGCAAGTTTTTATAATAAATGTTTAACACTACCTTAAATCTGCATTGTTTTACATGCTGAATTTGAAACAGTTGTGTCTAAACATGTCATTGCATGAACAGGTTCATGAATTTTAAAAATAAGCACAATTATTACAATTAATATACAATTATACTTCAGTTTCTAATGATTTCGATATTTTAGAAGATCGGGAAAAGTGTGGAACAAACATTCCAGAAACATTGGCCGATAGATTTAAGGAACGAGGTAAATACAGCAAATTCAATGAGCAGGTGCCCATGTGGATCACGGCCATGGATATTTTCCACCTTTTTCACGAGGGAACACGTATAATAAAAGGTACTTCAATTATGTCTCTCCTTTTTCAGCATTTAAAAATTGAAGATTGTCTTTTAGAAGTCTTCGTTAAAAACGAAATAAATATTTTTCGATGCGAAGCTATTGATGTGAAAGCGAGACTGCCATCTTCGGTAAAGTCGCTATCAGGAAAATTCAATGACATTAATAGGTCCGAAAAAGCTAGTGTAAGTTAATTTACCACTTGCAATTATCATCTTTTGAAGATTTTTGAAGTGAAAATTGTTTCTAACGCCATGATTGGGACCATCCCTCCGTTAGGTTCAGCTGTTGTGTTGCTTATACATGCCTGCTGCCGATGGATGGCGTCACCGACTCGCTTAGTTACAAATACAACATTACCAAACAAAGTAATATGGGATCGTTAGCTATGTACATAATAGAAAATTTTTATTTCAGATCGCAGATATTTGCAAATTATTAGAAATTCTAATTTGAGATGGGGCGCCTCAATTGTTTTCTGGTTCAAAAGTGCACGTAAGTCGTTTTTTTGCAATTTTAAGAGTTATTGAACGTTGTAGCATCATGCTATTGTCGTTGATATAAGAAATAATACTAATGATTACTGTATTTATTGTTTCAGCAACTTATATACCATTTGTACAGTAATGTCATGGTCAGCTGTCGGCAATAAGCACGCAAGCGCATGAGCACATTTATCACGTTATCAAGAGAAACATGTGCTCGGAACAGACAAACGGGATTGGATATAGTATTTTGAGAAAGTTAGACTCATTCAGTTATTTTTTAAAACTGGCAATTTTCAGTTATAAACTATATCACGAGATTGTGACTTCATTGAAAATGCGTTTCAACGCGAATCCGGATTTAATTAAGAAGTCATTTTATCGCAAAGAACTCATGAAATTAATCGAAAAACGACAAATTCAATCATCAAAATTTGTAAGTTCAACATTTTCTTTCAATATATGCAACGAATTCCTTATAGCAACGTTGTGCGTCATTCGCAGAAAAAGGAGAAAATGCGAAAAGAATAAATTGATTCATTTATTTTTTTTTCTGATTTTTATTATTAATATATTCATTTCGCATTAATATTGTAATAAATGAAATGTTCATACATATTCAATTATTATGGCTGTTATTACATTCTATTTGTGTGAAAATTGCTCGATAACGTATGATATTACATAATATTGGACAGAGTTTATTGAGAACAATCTAAAATTTATTGATATATTCTAAAGTTTATTGAGACAAATCTAAAACTTATTGATAAACTTTAAAGTTTATTGAGACAAATCTAAAACTTATTGATAAACTTTAAAGTCTCACAATATTCATTGAAACTTATTGATAAATTCTAAAATCTTATGAGATTTCCTAAAGTTTATTGAGACAAATCTAAAATATTATAGAGATACGTTAGCCTCTCAACGAACCTCATAAGATTTTAGAATTGTCTCAAAATATTTTTTTTTTCATTTGCCTGAGATGTACTAATGTTTGAAAACGTTTTGTGGGGTCTCAGGCAAATGAAAAAAAATATTTTGAGACAATTCTAAAATCTTATGAGGTTCGTTGAGAGGCTAACGTGTCTCTATAATATTTTAGATTTGTCTCAATAAACTTTAGGAAATCTCATAAGATTTTAGAATTTATCAATAAGTTTCAATGAATATTGTGAGACTTTAAAGTTTATCAATAAGTTTTAGATTTGTCTCAATAAACTTTAAAGTTTATCAATAAGTTTTAGATTTGTCTCAATAAACTTTAAAGTTTATCAATAAGTTTTAGATTTGTCTCAATAAACTTTAGAATATATCAATAAATTTTAGATTGTTCTCAATAAACTCTGTCCAATATTATGTAATATCATACGTTATCGAGCAATTTTCACACAAATAGAATGTAATAACAGCCATAATAATTGAATATGTATGAACATTTCATTTATTACAATATTAATGCGAAATGAATATATTAATAATAAAAATCAGAAAAAAAAATAAATGAATCAATTTATTCTTTTCGCATTTTCTCCTTTTTCTGCGAATGACGCACAACGTTGCTATAAGGAATTCGTTGCATATATTGAAAGAAAATGTTGAACTTACAAATTTTGATGATTGAATTTGTCGTTTTTCGATTAATTTCATGAGTTCTTTGCGATAAAATGACTTCTTAATTAAATCCGGATTCGCGTTGAAACGCATTTTCAATGAAGTCACAATCTCGTGATATAGTTTATAACTGAAAATTGCCAGTTTTAAAAAATAACTGAATGAGTCTAACTTTCTCAAAATACTATATCCAATCCCGTTTGTCTGTTCCGAGCACATGTTTCTCTTGATAACGTGATAAATGTGCTCATGCGCTTGCGTGCTTATTGCCGACAGCTGACCATGACATTACTGTACAAATGGTATATAAGTTGCTGAAACAATAAATACAGTAATCATTAGTATTATTTCTTATATCAACGACAATAGCATGATGCTACAACGTTCAATAACTCTTAAAATTGCAAAAAACGACTTACGTGCACTTTTGAACCAGAAAACAATTGAGGCGCCCCATCTCAAATTAGAATTTCTAATAATTTGCAAATATCTGCGAT